ACTGTCCTATAATTTATATTTCGAAGCATTTTGTGTTTGAGGTGATCGCGTAGAATTTAAAACATTATTGTCACTGCAACAAGATTATTCTTCGAATCGTAATATTTTTTGAGGCTATGTACAAAATGACATACAACCATTATGGACAAAACTACATAATGTGTCATTTTGTCCGTAGAGATATGGTGGTAAGAAAATTTTTTAACACGTTCGCGGACAGTACGGCTATAACCGTCATATTGTTTTCCCTAATACAGGACATGGCGGTTATAGCAGTCAAGTCTATTTCTTAATAAAGGCACGACGGCTTGAACCGTCACAAATTCCATGTAGATTGATGGATTAGCCAACTAAATGTCCTGCTGGAACATACGCCAATCAGAAAAATGCCCCGTGAAAGGCGCATATTCAAACACGTTTACAATTTTATGCGTGTCTGTTCTTGTATTGTTTTGACGGCTATAGCCGTTTAAAATTGCGTAAGTGCTCAATTATTTGAAGAATAATTGTCGTTCTGAGAGGTCGCTTTTAGGTTAGTTATAGTATATGTGTGCGAAAAAGAATGTAAATCGGTGAGTATTTTATATTTTCTAGTTCATTTTATTTGTTGTAGATGTTTAGGCGTTTGTGTAAGACGTCTAGGGTTCAGGATATTTATGATTATCAATTTTAGGCATGTCCTGGTACGAAAAAAACCAGGCATATCTTCAAAAGCTTCATGACGAGATGCTTGCAGAAAGCGACGCCGACGGCGAAGATGGAGATATGCAACTATTTGAAGACTCAGCTTCGGAGCCGGAGGAACACCGAGACGATGGAACGTTTTAATGGGGATCACGATTACGCTCCTGGTTCTGGAGAGGATAGCGACAGCGAAAGTGAAACGGAAGAAGTTGAGGGTGACGAAAATGGGAATGTACAAGAAAGCGAAGAAGCTCTCGACTCAACAGGTTTGTGGTACGAAGATGTAAAACCGATGCGGGTTTTTGGTTTCGATGGTAGCAAGTCAGGCCCGGCAAACGTCGACGCAAATACTTCTCGTTTGGACGTATTCAAGAAAATGTTCACTGAAGATATATTTGATATGTTAGTAACGTCTACTATATCTACGGAAAAAAACTTATGCGAATCCAATAGACCTTCTATTAGGCACAGACGTATGCTGAATTGTCGAGAACTGACAAAACAGAAATGTCTAAATTTTTGGGTATTGCATACTACAGGCCCAAATAAAGGAGCCCAGTATAAGACATATGTTCAGCGCAGCAGCTGCTTGTACTATCATCCGATATTTTCTTATTCTATGTCTGGGCGTCGCTTTGAACAATTGCTAAGATGCTTTAGTTGCTACGAGAACGCAGACACAGATAAAGATGCGAAGAAGAACAAGTTGGAAAAAGTTTCTGGTTTAGTCAATTTAGAGAGATATATAAAAGAGATCTATCTACAGTCTAAAACTCAAATATTCTATTTAAATCATTGAATTGAGAAAGTGATTTTGCTGGAACCACGCATATCCTAAAACTGTCCGCGAACGTATTAAGTAAATCTACGTAAATCTTTTTAATTTACAGAATGGCAATCTCGTCTGGAAAATTCACTTTTGAGAGTTGGCTCTGAGTCACAGATATATGCTTTAATTTTAATTTAAAGCATATCCGTCAAGCATCTAAATTATTATCCTGAATAGTTAAACACCATAACGATTGTAACTGAATGCAATTCCATGTTGGATGTCTTAGATGATATACAGTACTTTTCTTTAATGTCCCCACCATTAATTTTTTGAACATATGGAATTAACAAATATTATAAGGGCAAGAAAACGATATATCACATGAATATGGGGGATATTCTATTTAATAATGTTACAAAATGCATATCAAAGAAAATCCTATCGATATCATGAGAATTCGTATCAGTTGGTTTTCTATAGCTTACAGAATAAAATAACAAGTCTTGCCAAAAAACCTTCATCTTAAGTATAGTACGTCGGATATACTACTGCTACAGCTATGACACAAATTATGTTAACACACAACTATACTATACTATCCAATAATACTGCTGTTCATAGAACGTGTTTATAACTAACGTGCAGTATAAGATGCATAATTATTTATCACTTACGAGTCATAAGTCACTCCCTTCGAATAAGCAAACGTAAATCTTATGTTTCAACAAATAATATAACCTATAATCAAAAATGCTAAGAATTACTTGAAAGTAACTTTAAGAGATAAATCTAACAAGATATTTTTGAATCATCAATTAACAAGATTTTGATAGCAAAAATAGTGTCAAATAGAATAGAAAAGAGTGGATATTTATTCATCTGTAACCTTCAGTATTACATTAAGATGATCATAACAAAAATATAGTCTTTAATTCCTTAATCTTTCGTCAAAATTAGATTCTTCTAATGTCTTGGTTTGAAACTCGAGCTGTGGAAGTATATGTAGCATTCCTTTTACAACTATTATTTTCATCTAATTGCTATTATTTATAAAAGGTTCATTCTTTGACTGTTTGGATATGATCTGAATAGCTGGGGTAGTTTTTGTCAAATACACATTGTTATATAAAATATTTGGGATTTTCGATACTTCGTATGCATATTATAATTACTGCAGGTATACTTTTCAGCCTTATATGCTTACTTCATGAGATTTGGCTGCAGTATAGACATACTACAACATAATTGCACATCTCAGCAAGTCAACGACATTTGTAACATCGAATACAACACTAAAAAAATTGTAAAATCTATCTTCAATCCCAAATAAATACTGACTATTTCTTATCCAGCAAATATTAATTTTCATTATTAGACAGTTCTATTATTAGACTACATGCTTGGCTGCTACTTTTATGACTCTTGTATTTATGAATTACTTTCACCTCACTACTTCTTGTATCTTTGAATCATCCTTGATGAATCTTGATTTGATCGTACGATAAATGTCCTGAAATCTGGACCAATGAATTGCAATAGGTAGTTCTGACCGTGGTCTATCTAGCCGTCTTCTACGTAGTGTCTAGTAATCTGTTGAACAACACATGTGCTTTTACCGAGTTTGTTTTTGTTGAGAAACTACAAAACAATATGTTCTATTATTTTAAGAAAGAATAATAGTTTCATATATTATTTACTCATAGTCCTTCGAAAATACGCTTTTCTTCAAAATATATCGAAAAAGGCACAGCCTAAATGTAATATATCTAAGACTACAATTTGATGCAAACAGTTTTTCAATCAGTTCCTAGTTTTTGTGCGTCTTAAAAGACCGATTGCCTCAATATTCAGTACAGCTAATGAAAAATCTCGGAGAACTACATAGAAGTTTTCTAGTGCATACTAAGCTAATAATTCTCATTCTGTACTATCTACTGATCTGCTAAAAGTGCAGTTCTGGTGCAGAGCCAGATATCACAAATTAGGTACTCATAAATCTTTCTATAGAACGTACATCATTTTCCGAGAGAACAAAATAGCATTCCGATTGGAAAATTAAAATGTAATAGATTGGATCAATATGAATATTTAGGAGTCCTTGGAGGGTGAACAACTTTGGCTAACGAGTAATCTCATGCCATTGTCATCTGTCCTCTAAGCTATCAAACAGGTCACAAAAATGTACTCCAAAAGAAAGAGCACTACAAAAAAGTTTACATGTTTTGTAGGTCTACAGATTAAAGAAAAGCTAAAGATTTTACAGCATCAACCGTATGATCTCTCAGGTACTTTGGAAAACTACTTTACCATGTAAATCTGCTAACATTATCGAAGAAAGTGGGTTTAAAGAATGTCTTGATTAAAACAAAAACCTTAAGGTCTATCCATATCTCTCGACATCTGCAGCACCTTTTTGAGATTCGCCAGTTCCTCTTCAGCACTAGGCTCTGCAGGAAACAGAGTCAATGTATCCATTTTTTCTTCGCTGGAGGCCACAGAGTAGATTTGGAAGTCGTCAGGGTCGCTTGCGGAGTAAATCGTCAGAGACTCTGTTTCCAGCTCTTTAGCACTCATTTCCATGTCGGAAGAGTCAGGCTCTGACGTGCTCTGAGATGGTTCAGGAACTGATTGGGTGTCCTCGAATAGAGGTGGTGGAGGGACTAATTCTGACTCCTTATTCACCTGTAAATACAAGTGCACGATTTTTGCATAGCTTTTCAACCAGGTGATATTCCATATAATGACAACCCACTCTAGCACGCTAAAGGCTAACGTGTTAAATATCTATTAGTTATTGGACAAATAACATACATTTAGTGTCTTTTTAGCAGCTCTCCCTTTGTCTCTTGACAGTGATGAAAATTACAATTACTACATAGCAACAAAGGACGATGAAATTCTTCATAGTGGAATTTTATTTTTTAAAGGATAAACAGAGAAATATTAAATACAGGATGTCCCAGAAGTCGGAAACGGGGGATAGGCCAAGTAATAATATCAGAAAAAGATAAAAACAATTAAGTCGGGTACTTTTCAAATTATAGGGTTTTGGAAAAATCGGAAAACTATACACCTTGTGATGATCTTTTAGTTCCCATTACTACAAATTTCAATTTTTCCTTAGATGGAGTGACGGAGAATGTAATTCTACATAAAGACAGAAAATACCACCAGTTTTATTAATTCATGGTTGTATAGTACCGCCATATCTGTGTAAATCGTACAGGAATATGCCAAAATGCACCTCATTTATGGAGAATGTAGATGCAATGTTAGTGTTGCAGCTAGGCTTTATCGTAAGAGGTAATCAAATGCTGCTCGTCATTCCGATCACCGAGTTTTTAAGAATGTGCTCCGTTTACTCTCAGAGGGACGATTCCCAAATCAAGCACATGATAAAGGAAGAATTTCCTTTCCTTACCAAGACATCGTACTACAAGCAGTTGAAGAAGACCCGAATACTGCAGTACGTCAAATAGAAGCAAGCACGGGAGTGTCCAAAAGTACAGCACACCGTATCCTGCGAAAGAACGAGCTCCACCCGTGCTACTTACAGCGAGTACAATTTGTACAACCTGGGGATTATCTTCCAAGAGTTGAGTTTTGTCAAACAATGTTACAGAGACACCGGGAAGGTCCGCAACTTTTAGAGAAAATCTTATTGGCTATCGAGTCGACATTTCAAAGAGATGGTTACATGAATCTACACCACTTACACAGTATGTAGAAAATCCACAGTTGATGAGACAAGAGAGATCACAGTATCGTTTTAACATGTGAACATGTGGACCGGAATTATAAATGGGAGAATCATTGTACTCTTTCAGATGCCAGAATTCTTGAATGTCGAAATTTATGTAGACTTTTTACAAAATCATTTACCAAATTTATTGGAAGACGTGCCACTAAGCATTTACCGAGACATGTGGTACCAGCAAGATGACTGCCCGGCGCACTATGCCCGTTCAGTTAGAGAATATCTTGATGCGGAATACCCGAACAGATGGATAGGGCAGCCTGTTACAATTTCGTGGCCAGCCCGTTCACCTGACTTAAATCCACTTTTTGTATTGGGGTCCGGTGAAAGAAAAATTTTACTCAAAGCCAATAGAAAATTTAGCTGAGCTACGGAACAGAATAACGGTAGCAGCTGAATTTTTTAATAAAGGAAGATTCGCGCGTCTGATAATCCGATCAGTTTTAAGATGATAACAAGCTTGCATTGCTGCTGAAGGGAGGCAGTTTGAACAATTATTGTGAATTTAATAAATACATTGACGAATTAATAAAAGTGGCATTACTATCTGTCTTGCTGTCACTACATAGAATGACACTGTGTGTCATCTCATCTAAGAAAAAATAGAAATTTGTAATGGGATCTAAAAGATCATCACAGGGTGAATATTTTCCGACTTTTTAAAGCCTATAATTTGAAAAGTTCACGAATTATTTTTTTATATTTTACTGATAACTAATATTTCTTGCCTATCCCCCGTTTCCGGTTTGACGTCGACTTCTGGGACACCCTGTATATCTTATAAAAAAAAGATACTGAATTTTTGAACTGTTGTTAGTCCAAGATGATACGGCTTATCTTTGTTTCTGCGCTAGTGTGTTGGAACAGACGAATTAAAAAAATATGCATTAAAATAATAATAACAATAATCCGACTTTATTTAAAGGCGAAAAGACAACTCATGTAAATCTCCTGTAATAAGAAGCACTATTCTTACCTCCTTCAACTCTTCTTTTTCGTGCACGACGAGATGGGCTCTCAGGGAGTGCATCCACGTGAAACCTTTGCCGCACTTACGACAGGTATGTTTACGTTCGTCAGAGTGCGTTTTCGAATGCACCCTGAGACTACTGCTTCTGTTGAACGATTTGCCGCACTGGTCGCATTTAAATGGTTTCACGTCACCACTGGTTGCGGTGGCTTTACTCGTTAGCGGGATAGTAGAGAAATCTTTTTCACAATCACTAGAAGTAACACTTTTTAAGCGGAAACATTTGCTAGCATATCAATAAAACAAGGGTAAAACAGAATTACCAATATAAAAGATATTTCTATTAAATTTTCTAGGGCAGTTTGCAGAGCTCACTTTTTGTTTCATTTCGTACATTTCTTTAAATACCTTCTCTCATTCTCAACAAAAAGTTGATAGTTTGAGTTGAAAATATGAATTTCATAAGACGCGCAAATGTACAGTAATGGACAAAAGTATATAGACAAATATGAATATTTACCTAAATACCTTTAGAAAACGCATTCATACTTCATTGCTCCATAAACAAATGCGTTATTAGTAGAAAAACTAAATTCCTTGTTTTTACATCATCTGCAATGAGAACACAATACAAGTCTGAATATAAGCCCTTTTTTATGAGGGACAAAAATATATAGACAAATTCTTTTCAACATTAGTTTAGTAGTCGTGTCAGAAGAGGATTAGTTTGTGTTCATCAACTATTGTGAAATAAGTTGAGTGATTTTAAGACCATGCCGCGTGGTCCAGAAATTTCTTTCGATGTGAAAACTAAGATCATTGAGTTATACAAAGATGGTCAACGTCAAGTCGACATTGCCAAAAATTTGAAGCTGAAGCGTAAAACAGTTTGGGCAATATTGAACAAATATAAACAAAAAGGTATCTTGGAAGCCTCTAAGAGAAGTGGTCGGCCTAGAAAACTAAATGATAGATCAGTTAGATTAATAAAAGTAATTTCGTCCAATGATCCGTTTAAAACCCCAAGACAAATAAAAGCCGAAATCGTGACAAAAGGAATTGCGAGTGTTTCTACGAAAACTATAAGTAGAAGATTAAATGATTTGAAGTTATTTGCACGTCGCCCGAGTAAGAAGCCGGTAATATCGAGGAAAAACCGTAAGGACCGATTACAATTTGCACGGTTGCATCTTGATTTTAGCATCTGTGACTGGAAGAGGGTATGTTTCACTGACGATTCCAAGTTTAATATGTTTGGATCAGATGGTGTTCATTACGTTAGACGTCCTGATGGACAAAGATTGACCCCCAAGTACACTTTGCCCACTGTCAAACATGGAGGGGGGTCTGTTATGGTTTGGGGGTGATTTTCGTGGTTTGATGGCACTATGGATAAGTTTGTATACACAGACATACTAAAGCATGTCATGTTACCCCATATGGAGGACAATATGCTCTTAAAGTCAGTATTCCAGCAAGATAATGACCCGAAACACACTTCAAATCTCGCAAAGAAATTCTTTCTGGATGAAAAAATACCAGTTCTCAAATGGCCTTCACAGTCTCCCGATATAAGCCCCATTGAAAATCTATGGGAATACTTAGATAAGCAAATACGAAATAAAAATTATTCAAACAAGAATGAACTTTTTGCCACTTTAGAGCAAAAGTGGGGACAGATTGATGAATCTTATATCAAGAAACTTTACAATCTACGCCGAGACGATGCCAGGCGGTGATTGATAATAATGGTTATGCTACAAAATATTAACACCAACATGGTTGGTTTTCTATAATTCAATGAACTTTGCTTCTTTTTTCTATAATTGTTTTGCTTTGTCTATATCTTTTTGTCCTTCATATTTCCAGTTTTTTTCGATTAATTTTTTATTGAAGGGAGTCTAATGAATTTATTTATGTATAAGTGAGTATTATGCTATAACGAATTATGTAGACAGGTTGGTGTATTAACAAAACAAGTTAAAAAAGAAATGCAGCACAAAATTAATTTGTCTATATACTTTTGTCCATTACTGTATATCGATTTTCAATGTACGAAAAATAGATGCAAACTATCATTCAGTATGGGCCCTGAATTAATTAACATTTATATTTGAATTCTCCCGAAAACACGTGGTACGTGGAGCAAGAGAAGGTGTCTTCGGTAGCTTGTTTCATATAAATTTATTCATAAGGCAACTTCTGTGTAAGACAATTTTACTTAATTACAATGCATAGCTCGCTGGTCTAAACAGTTGCTTCGTGTAAGTACGACTTGCACGGCGTAATTTATGTCGGATTTATTAAATCACCTAACTTAATCTTCCTTAACTTAATCTAGCTCAATTTAACGAAGTTAGCATTTCCCATATGGTCAAAAGTCAGAAATTGTTAGAGATACCAGCTATCCCACACTCTACAGCTTTATAATCCTGGGTAAATTTTGGCTGCGTTTACAATAAGTCCCCATTCCTGATGGTCTTCCATCATTTGGGGTTAATAGGTGTATCCAGGTCGAGACGGGGTAGTCTACTAGTCGACATGATCATTAAAAAATGAACTCCTGTTTTTTGAACTAAACATTTTTCAAGTAAGAAATGCTTATAAATTATTTCAAACGCCAATAAATGTATAACCCACCCTGTACTTATGATCATCACATGCCTGCATTAAAGATTGAGAATTTGTCTTTCAGATCCCGATGCGGAATTGAACTTATTATATTTAAAAGTAGGGACAAAAGCTGAAAAGCCATCGATATATAGGCGGATATTACTTACACACACTTAAATACCTTATCCCCAACATGGCATCTCATATGCTGCACCAAGTGGCAGTACATTGACATGGTCTTGCCGCATGTATTGCAAACATGTTTCTTTTCTTTTGTATGTATTTTTACATGGTACGCTAGGTCTTGTGGTTGCTTGAAACCTTTCCCACATGTGGCACATGTATATGGCTTTGAACCTAATAAAGATAAACATGATAAAAATCGTATACGCTCAATTGATATAACTGTTATAATAAACAAGCAAATACGTCCTATTCAAATGGCTTTCACGCAGCATCAGAATTAACACAGGTTATCGATCGTCAAAACCTCACGCTACTATTTTACCAGTTTACTAGACATGCAACAGTAAGTCAGATATGACTAGTCGTGTTTGCTGTGACGCGATGTAAATGTCATTTTAATAGGATGTTGTTAAGCCGCGACTGCAACAACAGCAACCGCGACCAAGCCTGGTAGCGATTTGTAGGGCATAGCACTAGTGCAGAAAATCTGTGGCTCTCACACTTTCACTGTAAAATACTCAAATTTAAAAAATCACGTTAACCAATAAGAGGACCTATGTTGTGCCTCATTACTGTTAATATTTTGTTTTTGCTTGAAATACGGATTTGAGTATACGAGGTATATAAACTAAGTGATGAGACTGATTTAAAAAATAAATCAAATATAATTACAATTTTATATTGTCACCCTCAAAACAGCTCCCTTTTGAAGCCACACAGCGCTGGATACGGTGTTTCCTCTCCTCATAACAGTGCTGGAACGATACTGGAATAGCCTTCAGCTGGTCGGTCATAGCCGTGCGAATGTTTTCGACTGCCCCAAAATGAGTTCCCTTGAGGAGCCACGGGAAGGTTTTTACTGACCAAAAACTCATTTATTGACATTGTTGTATGACAAGGAGCATTATGGTGATGCAATATCCAGTTGTTTTTGATCTGATGAATGGTGGTGTGAGATAAATTTAACTCTACCCCGACCATTCTGACTGTCAACCGACGATCGCAACGCACAAGTTCCCGGATTCTGTAGGTTTTTTCAATGGTTCTTGAGGATGAATGCGTTCCGCTTCGTAGTTCATCTTCAAGTGACTCCCTCCCTTCTGAAATTGCTTTAAACCACCGAAAAACCTGGGCTCTTGACAAAACACTATCTCCGTAGGCCTGTTGAAGTTTAACAATAGTTTCCGTTGTACTGTGCCTAACTCTGAAGAAAAACCTGATAAGCACACCGTTGCTCGAAACTAATGTCATGTTTAGAACGGAACAAAAGCATTTCTCAAAAAACAAATCGCTACGGACACCCAAATGACTCGAGTTCGTTGAAACTTGTACTGAAGGTGGATCACATATTTCCCTGGCTCCCCTCCAAGCTCAGCGCCTCCAGTATTGGCAGATCGAACGCTACACTGTCAGTCTCATCATTTAATTTACAGACCTCGTATCACCTTCTAACTATGGACCTTACACAAATAGAAATTTATATTGAAGACCGTCTTAAACCAGGTAGTGGCTCATGGGCATATAGCAGCCTACATTACCGTTGGAGAAAATTGAAGAGCGGAGAGGGGGATTCTCAGATTTTTTAACTTAGTTCTATTTTTAGAGCATATGTCCAATCAGAAACAATAAATTGAGAATTGCGCTTTGAGAATTGGAGCAAGCATGCCTGAATAAAATGACATAAGTTTTGGCCGGCCTTTCAGTTGTATTATAGAATATCAAAACTCGTTACCAAACCGCGTGGTTGCCGCAATTCGCTAAAAGTGCAGAGTGCATGCATTATAAAAAATGTTTATAATTATACAGGGTAGCCAATATATAACTGACTGATTTAACTTACGCGCCATTTTTTTATACACGCATTTAAGTAGGTGGCGCCGTAGTAGTTGTTTAAAGCACATGTCTCCAAATCATCATGGAGCGCTGCACGATCCCACGTGTCCGTATTGTTAAAACGTTTTACTTGAATAATCAGTCGATTGTTGCAACGAATGTGCCCAGTGTCGACACCATTCGTCAGTTGGTGCGGAAATTTGAACAAACAGGTGAAGTTAAAGACTTGCCAAGGTCGGTCCGTATTCGAACTGTTTGTACTCCGGAAAATCGAGAGAGTAGTGGAGCGCCCTGAGACGTCTACCAGACATCGTTCTCGAGAACTGGTTATTCGTCACACATCATTATGCGCTATTTAAAAAAACATGCAAACACAAATACAAAAATCAGTTAACCCAATAACTACAGCTCAGTGAGCATGAAAGTCGCCGACAATACAATCATGCAATATTGCAGCTTAAGACCCAAAATAACTATTTTTACCGACAACTGATAATGAGCGATGAAGCCCACTTCGATATGAACGGATTTGTTAATAAGCAGAATTGTATCTTGGCGTCAGAGAACCCTCGTGTCATCCATCAACCTCCACTACATCCTCGACGAATCACAGTTTGGTGCGGTGTTTGATATGGAGGTGTTATTAGACCTTACTTCTTGGAAGACGCTGCAGCTAATTCTCTTACTGTCACTGGCGAGCGCAACCGTGATATGATGCAAAACTTTCCGACTCCTCAAATCTAACAATTTAACCTGCAAAACATGTGGTTCCATAAGTTCGGAGCAACTTGTCAGACAGCTAGGGAAACAATGAATCTTATGCGAACAATATTTCCGAGACGATTAATTTCTCGATTTGATGATGTCAACTGGCCACCACGGTCACCGGATTTAACGGCTCCTGACTTTTGTATGGGTATTTATGAAAAATAGGGTTTATGCCAACAAAACAAATACTGTAAAGCAGCTGAAGAACAATGTCGCGGAAGCGATTGAAACTATTCCTCCCGAAACCTACCAAAAAGTGATGGGAAATGTAATCAAGAGGGCTCAGGTTTGAACGGCTTCTAGGGACCGTCATTTGTCTGATATTATTTTTCATACATAATTTCAATAAAAGATTAAGATGAAAAAGATGGATGTATTTTATTTTATTTCACAAATATTCAAGATACAAACCAGTCAGTTACATATCGGCCACCCTGTACGTATCATTTCGAAACATTATGTTATACTTTGTGGTTTATTTTGTACTATTATGGCCAGATTTTACTATGCAGGGTCAGGATATTTGACTCTGGGGTCAATATGGTTGATTTCTTCTATTACATCTTTCAAACTTGCAAAAAATATACGATTTCTGTAAGAAAGATATCTAATTTCTAGATTAAATCAAGATAATCTTTACAAATCACCTGGCTTAGCTAGAAAAACCTTTTTTTGTTTGATCCGGCGGTCATAATATTTGGTCGAATCGTGGGTCAAATCTGATACAATACCTATGTTGATATGACAGCAATTACTGAGCATTTTCTTGATAATAACTTAATAACAGTGTCACGACTTACCTGAGAGAAATAATTTTATAAAGAAAAGGATGTATATTTAAAAATGCATCGAATTACCGTCAAATGTTAGATTATGAACCTTTTTCCGGGTATGTTTAACACATCGTCTATGACTGGGCGGTATTATGCAGTAATCCTATTTATAATAAAGGTATTTCAGTATGCGAGTAACGTACGCATGTTTCATTTGGAGAAAAAAAGAGGAAAAGTATGTATCTTACTTAAAATCAGAACAGCTTTCTAGTGGCTGCCACATCAAATTGCTGAAAATAAAGTCGTGAGGTTCAATCGTACCTGGTATTAAAAAGTAAACGCACATTGATCCACTCCACTTAGGCACTTTTAACTGAATAGAAAAAGAAGTGTTAGGATCAACTACAATGGGTTGGAATAACAGACACTTGTTTGTTGATATATTGTAGAGCACTTATCATCCAGAGATCCTACGGCGCAGACTCGTCATCCAGTTGGCAAGATAGGGTTCAAGGTGACGTAGTCGTACCACCGTCCAGTAGAGCTGCTGCGTTGTTATACCATAAGCCAGGAAAATTAACTCTAAACACGTGCTGAACGTAAAAAGTGTTGGAAAGAAACAGGGTTTTTCGCATGGTAGTCAAGTAAATTGAACATTTACTCGATGTTTGTTAACGAACAAGCATTCTGTAATTGTACAGAGTGCGGCAGAGAGGATGGACGGTTTTATAAAAATCATAAAATAGTCAATTTTTACTCGAAAACAAATTTATTGATGGAATCAGGTTCACAAGGAAATAGCATTTGAGACAGTCAAGTGTGGAAAATCACATCAGGCATGTTGTGGCCGAAATCGTTGATGCAGTGCTGGAAGCGTTCTTGGAAGTTCGCGTAGACTCTCTCCAACATCACTCTCTGAACTTGGGCGACTTCCATGCGAATTTCGCCCTTCAATTCGTCCAGAGTTCGGGGCTTGTTCGCGTTGTTCGCCTTGAGGTGTCCCCATAAGAAAAAATCGCATATGGATAAATCTGGGGACCGAGGAGGCCAATGAACATCGCCAAACCTGGAAATAAGGCGACCAGGGAAGAGAGGTCGAATAACGTCCATGGATGCTCGGGCTGTGTGGGCGGTCGCCCCATCCTGCTGGAACCACACACGTCGGATTGGAACACGTTGCCGTCGTAATTCAGGGAGCAAGAAGTTGGTGATCATGTCGACGTAGCGCTCTGAGTTCACGGTAACATCACGACCATTACCGTCTTCGAAGAAGTAAGGGCCAATGATGCAAGTTTGCGATACAGCGCACCAAACCGTTACTTTTGGACTGTGCAGCGGTCTTTCGTGTAACTGTTGCGGATTTTCATTAGCCCAATAACGACAATTCTGCTGGTTAACCATGCTGTTTAGGTGAAAGTGGGTCACTCATAAACAAAATGAGGTTCTCGTTTTGATCGATCAGTGCTTCCATCTCACGTGCGAAGTTCATTCGTTGTGCATAATCTCCGGGCTGTAACTGTTGCACAATGGCCAATTTGTAGGGGTGAAAGCGGAGATCCATATGCAAAATTCGCCTTACCGAACGATCACTAAGGCGAAGTGCAGCAGCACGTTTCCGGAGAGATCGAGTCTGACTGCGAACGCGTTCAACATTTTCAGGCGTTCGAACTGTTCGCGGCGCTCCTCTTGGTCTTCTGTTGATCAGTTCACCACGCCTGCGAAGTGATTCAATCCAACGAAGGATGGTGTTTCGAGAGGGAACAGCTCTATTCCGATCAATGTTGAAGTGGCGTCGAAACTCACGCTGTACGACGATGACTGACTCATTATTTCGGACGAAACAATCATAGGCGAAAACGCGGTGCTCCACCGTCCAAGGCTCCATAACGACAACTGGTAAAATAATGCTAGAATCTCACGAGTCAAACGGCACCTTCCCCACCTCTCTCGTAGACGGAGGCGGAGAGTACTACCCATCCCAAAAACGTCCGTCCTCTCTGCCGCACCCTGTATTTATGTTTTCGAAGGATTTATTAAGTAGAATTTTGTACTACAGTGATCTAGTTTTATAGACCTGGTACAAGCCTATAAAGAGAAAACAAAGGTTTTTGTAGCTAAACCAGATGATTTATGAAGAATTAAAGACCTTTTTTACACAAATCGTATAATTTTTCTCTAGTTTAAGAGATATTTTAGAAGAAATCTTCTAGGCATATTTATTAGATCCACTATTACAAAAACGCCTTGTGTTTGGTCCATTTTGACCCGCGAGTCAGATATTTTAACCTTTTAACCCCGGGTTAAATGGAAAAAAGGTTTTCGTAGCTAAACGAGGTGATTCATGAAGAATTTCTTGTTTTCGTATGACTATTAGTCGCCCTTCTTCCACAATGCATATTTTGTGGCTGGTTGGAGCAGTATTTCATAAGGAATCGACATATCCATCAAATCCATTACTTCAAAAACGTCTTGTTATTAGGCCGTTTTGACCCCAGGGTCAAATTTTGCATTGCGCTGGTTATTAGTTAAATCGGGCCTATAAGTAATAACTATGCAACAAAATTGTACACATCAGAAGCCAAGACCTACTAAAGAAATGAAAAGAAAAACACCAATACCTAGGAACACCTATCACCTGTATGGGCTCTCAAATGTGCGGTAAGATTCGGCGATTGTTTGTACTTTTTTCCACAATCTGTGCACTCAAAGGGATGCTCTGCTGAATGGCTTTTTGAATGGTGAACGAGAGAACTATATATTTTGAAGCCTTTCTTGCAGTAGCTACACATGAAAGGTTTATCCTCAATATGTTCATTAAGATGGATGCGTAAATTGCTTGAAAAGTGGAAAGTCTTGAGGCATATGTTGCATTCATATACATACTGAAAATGTTGGTATAGTTACTGAGTGGCTACGTTACTTAATTTTTTAACTAATTCTGCGTTTATGTTTAGCATTTTATCTTTTATTTTACTGCCGCAAGTTGAAATACACTAAGCAAAAGTTTTAAATAACTGTTGCCCCCCATCTCACAACTATTTTTGCCCCTAATTCCCAGACCTTTAACACTTGACTGATGTTGATTTAGAACACTTTTATCAATTTGCAGTATTCACTAGGTGTTGAGGTGCATAGTAGGGGTGGAAAAGTAGGTGTGGTCTCTATTGTGAAATATGTGTCATATGAGGTTAAACTGAAGCCTGGCAGTGCAAATATTTTGCTGCCATCATTTGTCAGATCAAAATAAAATTATCAGTTTGAAATTCAAATTTGAGGGATTGTGCTATTTCGAATTGAAGAAGATATTCAAATTGTTCATAACCTCAAGTCAAATAAATACGTCATTTTAATTAGGTTTATTTTTTCAGTATATCCTTTAACTGGTGCTGTCATTGCGCGACCAGCGAATATAACTCAATGTACCTGAGAACCACAAGATTATGTTATTACTGTACTGACTTCAGACTTACAGGCCAACTACAATAACACAATGAAACTGGGCTTCAAAAAGTGGCCACTGCATCTGGCCTGATGGGATAGACTACTACGAGCCCCTTCCCACTTCAGTTGACCCACTTCAAGATTTGTACCAAAATATGCCTTTATAAACTAAACATGACAAAACTATTTACTTCTAAAACAATTTATTTTCTCCAAAACATTTTAGATACACTCTAGTCGTAAAAAATACATATTTGAAATCACTTAGACCTATAACTAATAGAACATCTGAACAAATAAACAATGTGCGAAGTTAATAAAGCAACAATTGAAAGATTACCATTGGGTAACATCACCTTTATTTTTTATTATGGCTGAAATCCTTTGGGGCATAGTGTTAACCAAGTTTTGGCAAAAATTTGGTGTAAAACAATCCCATATTTCTTGAAGCTTTTGTCTCAGTTCAGTGATTGTATGAGCACGATGTTGTCGTAGAACCTTTTTCAATTCGTGCCACAAAGTTTCAATAGGTGACAGATCTGGACTGCTAGAAACCCATTTCAAAAGTGGTACATTATTTTCTTCCATCCATTTTATAGCCTTTTTTGAGGTATGGCACGCTGCACCATCTTGCTGAAACAAAATCTAGGCCGGATGTCAAACATTCTTCCATCACTGGTAAAAGTGATTCTTCTAAAATTGCCAAATATTTGTTTGTATCCACATTTCCATCAATAAAATGAAGTTTTCCTACTCCTTTTGATGGCATACTGCCCCAGACCATAATGGATGCTGGAAATTTCACTTTTCTCTTCAGACAGTCAACATGGAATGCTTCATTTTTGTTGCGAATAACTCTACTGCGACTGGCACCAACACAAACTTCGAATCGGGCCTCATCACTCCATTGTATTGCACACCATTGTTAAGGTGTCCATTGTCTATGTTCTTTAACCCATCAAAGCCGATTTTTCTTTTGCAGTGGAGTTAATAGTGGCTTTTCTTTGGCCTATAAACAAGTTGTGCTACTTTAGAGTTTTTACTTCACTTTTTTTTTATAAGAAAACTTACCTTGCAAGTGCTAAATCCCAGTTTGTGGGCCTCTCTATGAGTTGTGGACCTCTAAATTCTCCTTCTAACAGCGTCACTCTACAGAGCATTTAATTGTAAATAATTGGCACACCTGTTTTTCACGATTATTCTTCTTAATGCTCTTCGGTCGGCATTTGTGATATTACTTTTTTTCACATATTGTGGCTTAATATTAACTAAACCAGTTACGTTATATCTTCTAAGAATATTTCTCACACTGTACCGCGATAAGTCTAACAAAGTTGCAATTTCTGAGTTTGATTTCCCAGAATTAAAAAATTTAATTATCAGTAACCGAATTTTCTCACTAATAACCTTTCCTCTACCCATTTTGAAAACCTTAACTACCCAAAACTATTTTAAACGTATTCTGACAGCTGTGATTAATAAAAACAATTGTCATGGCTTTTATTTCTCACAGCCACCTATGCGTTATAGACTTAGTTTGCATTGAAATGAAAATAGGTTAATATGCTGTAATTGCAACATGTGTTATTTTTATGCTGCAAGTTTGATTAGGGAGTGATAAAGTTGGTGTTTTCTACTATATATTATCAAAATATTCATTGTTAATATTTTAAAGTTAGTAAATCCATAATAAATCCATATTTATGGGTGGTGCAAATGGAACATTCAATTTCAAGAAAAATCCAGTCAAGTGGACTCAGCCAGTCAAAAAAAGATAGGCCGAACTGGTCAATGTGGATCTTGTATACAACTTACCAGGTTGCCAATCATGGACTAGCATTTAAAAGAAAATATGTTGGCCAGCTTATTATTTGAACTTTGAGGTGACATATCTCAGTTTTGGAAATTCAAAAATAAAATGTCACCTGTCCAAGTTGAATTTGTGAATCATTTGCAGCATCTTTTGATAAAACCAAGCACTGCTTTCCTAACTCCTATGATGACATTTTTCATCATTTGGCATTTGTGTTGAAATAAATGCAGCTCCATAAACACTGCAAGAGCTAACTTTGGAAATTCTGCTGCAAAATATGCTTTTGAGATGAATGAGCAATCTTTTTTTTGGATAATATATCGAAATTTGCCCCAACATAGAAGAGGAAGCACTAAAACTGTTTTTACCTTTTTCAAGCACTTACTTGTATGAAAGGACAGCATAGAAGCAAAATACTGCAGCAAATTACTGCTAGTAGTGTACATAGTGTACTTTCTTTGGTCCAGGATTGACAGCCTGGTGAAAAACATGCAGGGTCACCCATTGTATTGATCAAAACAACCTATTTTTTCATAATATTAGCTACTTATGTGAATGCATTTTTTATAGTAGTCATTAATTATTGATTTTGTTCCTTGTTTCTCATATCCTTTTTACATGCTACCAACTACTTATGTTGATGGATAATATGTCAATATTGTTTTAGGCCAAAACATCTGGGCTAAACCATAGGCAACCAGAATTATCATGGTAACATCAAAAACATGAGAATACCACCAGGGTGTAGGTAAATAAACTATGAATTGGTGGTCTTTCCTACAGACCATTAGGCTCCAAAAGGTCAGTAATAGCATGAATTTTACTTACACTGGTGTCATTATCATTATATTTCTTGTAATAATCCATATTTGGAACATCTCTCATAGTTCTCTGCAACACCATTGTACTTTCGTCTCCATCTCCTGAACCCTCTTTTCCCTGTTGCTCATTATCCTCCCCCTTCCCCATATGCTGTTCACTTTGCTCAGCATATTCTTTAGTTTTTGTCTGACTATCACCCATCTTATTTTTATTGAACAGGTCTTTATTAAAAGATTTGAGTTTCAATGTGATATCCACATTTTCAAGGAAATTCTCTTTTATGAACTGATCTACAGTGTCATCACTAAATGGCAGATAGCTCTTAAGAGCCTCAATTTCGTTATTTTCTGCCAATGTGCTCGAGCTTTCAGGTGCAGTTTCTGTAGAAGTTGAATTGGAATTTTTATCTACAAAATTCAATTCACTGGCTGTGTTACTACATCCTGCAGTAGTACTGCCGAGAGTCTTATATCGGGAAAAGACATTGTGTTTAGGGCTACTCATATGCTCTGTATATGTCTCTAACAAGCATTGCGAGGCATTACATTGCCTTTGGAATGAGTATGAAATATTGGTTTTTTCCAAACATGAGGAACAAATCATTGAAGGAAACCCGTCACATGGTTCTACCTGCAGTAAAAAGTCAGACAGGTTTATTCAGAATAATAAAAAAAACCAAAAAAGTACCTTTATGGACGAGATCTTGAGCAGCACTTCGAATATTTTAGGATTTTTTTCAGATGGGATATCACTAGGAATATCGCTATATATGCAATACATTTTTTCTCTTTCCTCTAAACATATTCTGCATATTTTCGATAAATTCAGAGCCGTTAATATCATATTTTGTTTCAATTTCAGGCAACAATCAAATAAAGTTTTTTCATGTAGTGACTAGTGACATATTGATTATGCAAATTTCAAATCTGACAACTGACAATATTCTGACAGACAGGGCAAAGCTCAAGCCCCTTTCAGACGGCAATCGTACACCGGCTAAAAAGTTTTAAAGACGGCTTTGTTCGAAGTGTGTTTGAGGGACTCAAATTTGATCTCAGCGAGATCTGATATCTGAAATAACTCGAGGACTCGGGACCAGTTGTTTTTGTTGGAAAAAATATCTTTTCCTGCTAATAAAACTCTCCATTTATAATGCATATTTGGAAAAATGTAACATGTTATACAGAAAACGAAAATCTGTCGTCATTTTAACAAAAATACAAGTTAGATAGTACTGAACAATAACCTATCTCTTTAAGAAGGTCATGTGGTTAGAAAAAATCTTGTCAATTGCTGATTGCCGCCATACACAACTTGGAAAAAATGCTTCTTCCTAAGCTGTCATTTGGAGAACGTCGTTCAAAGTAAGGTAGGTGGATACAATATGCGCATGTCGGCAATATGCCCACGGCCTATAGTTCGGTTGTTTTGCGAAAGATAGCAGCACATACCGTACGCTTATGTAGAAGTTATCCTAACGCCATATTAAAGTCGACAAAAAGATATTTTTCCACCTCGGCGTTATAATACTAGCACGGTAAGTATTTTATTATAAAGTTTTGAAAAAAAGTATGAAGGAGTTGCAATAGCGTGTTCCATACACGGATACTGAAGTTTATATTGGAGTGAAAGCAATCGATTTAAGGTAACACATTAGAACGAAAACATAACCTAACCTAATTTTACTGCATGCGTAGCAATATACTCACCATGCGGTGTCGGCAATATGAGCATGGGCATATTGCTAGCTCTTCGCGACTAAGTAAATCATTGGTATAAATTCTTACAGGTATGATTGGTAAACCGAGAAATCGGGGCATACGTAGTGCGTGGAGTAGAAGATTTAAAAAATGCGGTCGCAGCTGTGCAGGAGGGTGGGATGTCTCGCCAAGGTGCTTCAAAGGCATTTTCAATACCGAGAAGAACTCTGCCTAGATACGTTGATAGTAACAGGATTGATAAGGCAACAATGGGGCGGAAACCGGTAATGACTGCTGATCGAGAAAGAGAACTGTCTGGAAGAGGTCGGCTACCCGTTAACATCAAAGACACTTCGGAGGCGTGTTTTTAATTTCTGCACCGAAAACGATATACAAAATAAATTGTCTACCATGTCTCGAATGGCTGGTCGGTATTGGATTAATAGATTTTTAAAAAGAAATCCTGAAATACGTAAGAGAAAAGCACAAAATATGAACCCTGCTCGTGCTCAGAAAGTGAACAGATTTATCGTAAATGACCATTTCTCAAAATTAAAAGAAATTCTTTTGGAACTAGATATTATGGATAAGCCAGAAAGAATTTTCAATGTTGATGAAAAAGGCTGTACGCTAAACTTGCATCATCAACCAAGTGTACTAGCAAAAAGAGGGGCAAAACGGGTACACCTGTTAGCTCCAGAGCACGGAGAAAACGTTACAATTGTCTCCTATGGCAATGCCTTGGGTAATTCTATTCCACCGGCAATTTTATTCAAAGGTAAAAGGATGAAGCCTGAATGGAAACATACGCTACCACCGGGATCACTGGTCAATATGACTCCCACAGGTAACATAAACGTTATTACATTTTGCATTTGGATTGAGCATTTGGCTAAGTATAAGCCCCCGGGAAAATGTCTTTTGATTTTTGAAGGTGCCAAATGTCATCTGGACCATAAAATCGTTGATGTAGTAGAAAAGCATGACATTGTACTTTATTGCTTGCCCAGCAATACTACACATGAGTTACAGCCAATGGACAACGCGATCTTTCGTTCCTTTGAATACAACTGGGATGATAAGGTACTCCGGTATTGGACAAGATACAAAGATCGAAACATCACAAAGCAGCGATTTGGTGAAATTTTCAATGCTGTGTGGGATAAAAGTTTGACGCCAGCAAATATAAAAGCAGGCTTTGCCACAACCGGTATATTTCCATTTAATCCCGAAGCAATATCGGAATTGGCATATGCTCCTAGTGAAGTTACCCAAGTGAGAGATGAACCAGAAGGATCCACTGCTAAACCTATCTTCGAAACTACCAGAGCAGCATCTCCTAAACCAGGCCCATCAAATTTCCGTAAACGGCCAAGAACACCGAGTAGCTCTTCTGGTGACAGCCCAGAAAAAGAAAACACGCCTCCATTTCTGATTACCTCGGATTCAGACGATGATATGTGCTCATCAAACCAACCTCTGAATAAATCATTAACAGAAATGTTGGAAACCCCGGATAAAATTGTAAAATCAGTAGAAAATATAAGGCAGAAGGCTATAAACAGTCGATCGCTTGTAGTGAAAAAGCAGTTTTTAACAAAAACTATACAAGTACATCCAAAGTTGCGTCAGCACCCAAAGGTATAACAGCACCTAAAGTTATATCATCAGCCACCAAAGCTGCAACGTCTAAGACAACAAACAAAAAAAAAATACCTCGACCATAAGCAGGATTGGTATTGTGCAGTGTGTGAGATGAATGAAATTTCTGATATGTGCCTGTTTGTCTGTCAGAAATATGTTCATGAGGATTGTGTAGGCTTAACCAAAGTTACGAAAGAAAGATTTATTTGTCCATTATGCGAATAAAGTGCGATAGTTTTATTTCTTGATGTGCTGTACTTATTTCACTTGTTTTTTCTCAAAGATCTATTTATTCATTATGCGAATATGACGGAATAATTTTTTTTGAGTACTTAAGCTCAAAATGAACACGTTATTTCACTTGTAATACATACGTTTCTATCATAATTTTGGTTCTTTTCTTACTTGGCCATATTTCAGATACCATGTTGGCAATATGCTGCATTTACACCCTTTTTAAAAAAATCTGGTAAAAATACTTCAGTCAATAGTTTTCTGACAATTAAGTGTTTATGGGTTCTAGACATGTTGAACTTTATCATAGCACAATTGGCTTTTTTATTACTTAACTTAGCGCCTTGTTAAAAAGAAAAATCTCTTAAGGTGGGCATATTGTATTCACTTACCTTATAATTTTCAGTATTGTTTGTTTATAATAATCTACATGATTTTATCAAAATCAAAACTTTTCTTTCGGTACGTATAAGACAAGAGGTTGCTTCTCTCTGTACATACAGGGTGATTAAAAAAATGGCAATATTTCTAGTTAACAAAGTACATAAAAAAACATTGATATCGATTTGAAATTTTGTAATTGTAGAACTAACAGCATGATTAATACATACAAGAATATCCACGCCAAAAAGTGTCGTAGTCATATGACTTAGAGTGTCCCAGCCTATGAGGGTAAACATTTTTGAAATATGCATACTCTCTATTTTTTTCCCATTTGACTCTAACAACTAAAAGAATAAATATTATTGGGATCGGGAAAAACGATAACCCGTGCCGATTTTCGGCCAAACTTTGAATTTGGAAGTTAATAGGAAAACCATGTATGGATTTCAAAAACCTAATTCTTATTTGACAAATAAAACACTGCTCTATTTGTACCTTATTTTTCTTAGACATCTCTCATTAAAAGAGCATGATTTATTAAATTTCCTTTTCAAAGTTTTCTTTTTACAGTCAGGATATATCTGCTTATGTTCTTGTACGCAACGCAATAAAAATTATTCCTCATCAGCAGCATGAAAGTCTTGCATTAACTTAACAGCTCTTTCGCCCGTATCGTTAACTGCTCTCAATGTTTGCACTTCTTAGCATGTTGAAAGGAATCATTATGTATCCATGAAGCTGGACATTGTCATCAATTTTGAGTCTACTGAACAAGCACTTGCTTTTTAACATCGAATTTTTCTCTGAAATGGAAAAACGAAGAATAGTTACCATCTAAACAAATTGGTTTTGTTCGTCCGACCACAGACAGTCAACCATGGACAGCTAGGTGTTTTTAGGCTTGGCCTCAGGTCAGGACAATGAACGAAATATAGCAACTAACCTCTATCTGAGGTACGAGTATAAGATCTATCGAAGCAAGGCAGTATAAGGTGCTATCCATTCCCAGAATCGCAGTTTATGCTGGCTTATTTTAACAGTTAGTATATTATAACGAAGCAGTAAAAGAAGAAAAAGGAAAATTTATTCGTTAGACGTACCATAAAGTCGGCCAGAAAGTTCTTCTTTTTAGTGGGATGTAGCGTTTACCGTGGGCTGATGAACTTTCTTTGGCTAAATTAGCAACAAGTTTTACGTTAGTTTCCTCATCTGCGTCGTCGTCAAACAGAGAACACAGACACCTCATCTGTCAAATATCATAAATGTTGGCAGACCCTTTGTAAAGCTGCTTCTGAAATGGTTTTGTCAATTCTTTCGTAAGCCTTCATTGCCTTTAAAAAGCATAAATCCTGGTTAGGTGCTTTTACCGTTGCAGTGCATTACAACTACGGTATCACGTATGTTGTCACGGTGTACAGGCAGATATCTAACAGAGCTGCCTTAAACTTATTAGAAAGTTTGAGCTGGGAACTTAGTAAGGGTATTATTAATGGATAGATTGCTCTGGTCATCCATCGAGCTGGATGCATGGCGCCTGGCGGTCGAATCTTAAATTTTTTTGCTGTATCTCCGCCAAGCTATTAATTCTCTAACAACTTCTGTGGTCAATTCATGTCGATAAAATTCTGGCGTCTTGTCAGCCTCTGAAATAATCAGGCTCGATAGCTTTTCATTATAAATCTGTATTTTCTCGGGATACTCACTTTTCCAGCTCCTGTAAAACTTTTTAAGCATTGGAAAGTCAGGGCGTGTAGTCACTTGGTCGATCTTTGATTCAATTACGCCTTTTAACACCAATTCGTAGACATGATGACGCCAAGTAAAAATAAGAATCTATTAATTAAGTTTCTGTTCAAAAAGCACACAACAGAGAATCTGAACCTTATCTTCAAGTCTCCAGTCAATAATAGCATCTCAAACTGTCTGAGCTTGCTCGTTGCCTGAAGGGTTATCCAATTTGGGCACAGCGAAAAGTTGCTCTTTATTTTCATACGTTATAGAAATCTGTAGATGTTCCTCTTTAGAGTTGCGTGCATTTAAAGGTGCCAACAATTTGCCATCCCAGTGGACAGTTGCAGTATCCGGTACCTCGCTTTGGGATTAGCTTCTGTGCGCTGCTCCGCTTTTCGGCACGAATTCTTAAAAATGACGACTTACTTATATGAAACTGGACAGTATCATGTCCAAGTACCTCAATGGTTGCTTCAACAATAAAACAGCATTTCTCATAATTAACTGATACCTATCTAATGCTGCCCCTAATGTTGGAGATATGCAACTTTTCCTCATTTTAGTCTGAGTAGTATCAGTCTGTGTGCTCTGGGTTGAGATGGGCAAAGTTCTCCTAAATCTATTTTAATCTGAAGATGAATTTTTTTGCACTGGTTCATAAGATCGATGTCGAGAGAGTTGAGGAAGCAACATATTTAGCCAGCTTTTCTTCTTCGGTGTTCCTAAGACGCGCCTTTTCTTCTTTTATGGAAAATTTCTTGCCTACCCCTGCTAAATGACCAAGTCCACCCGGCTCTCTCTGCCGCAGCAAGAAGATCCTATCTACATTTATTTTCATCAATTCGAGGGCATCGGCATGCGCAATATCAAACAGGTTGTCCAAGTTCTAAGTCGACGTTGCCCAAATTCTTCTTGTATTTTGCTTGCATTTTTTTTGAACATCCCTCCAAACCTGGCATAAGATAGCTAATTTATTAACACAGTTAGGTCGAGATTTAGTTGGAATACCTGCCTTTCCCAGTAAATCATGCACTCACGAATAGTAAGGCGGGCGCTTTCATTGACAATTAATTTCACTCCCCGTGTATCGTAAAACAAGACTGCTAGTGCTTGTACATTAGAAGGCTGTGAATCGGTCATTTGATACTTTACGCCCCCTATTAAAAATATTTCCTTTGTAGAACTGCGTAATTCCTTCGACATGTTGACTGAACCAAAACAGTGCGTTTACTAGTAGAACAAGCGAGCATTGCAATACATTAGCTAACGCGCGCCTAATATGCATATTTTGACATGTTCCAATGTAGTTCGGCTCTAGTTGCCCTGGTTTTAGGTGCATAAAACTGTATTTACAATTGTTTTGACATTGTTCAAGCAAAATTAGGGGGTATGCGTTTGAAAAGAATGACTTTTTTGGGACATCCTACTATAGATGAAAATAGATTTTCTACGTGACTGTTTATTTGAATAATCTATTGGATTGCTGAATAATGTAAAAGACTTCAACCCATTTAGTTTAAAACACATTGAATTACTAAAGTTAGTTGAGATTAACATAGAAAATTGTATATAGTGTATCAGGCTAGGTAGTCCTACCTCAGCGGAGGGGTTTCCCACGTGGAACATACAGTGAAAAAAGTAAGGTTTCAAAATTAGTTCATATTGGGCTTGTTTGTACATATTGTATGTGTAAAAGAGAAAATACGATGTTTTTCGAGACACCTTTATATGGTATGTTACGGGTTCGTAAGAATAGCACTACTTGAAAATTGTTATAGCTTATCACTTATACCAAAGTTACAATTAACTCATAACTATTTGTTATATTAATATATAAATAACAATATAATGATTATCAACACTATATCTTCCATTGACTGTATTTCGTTATAAAAATTATTTTTAAAACGCAGTATTACGACACACTAAACTGTCACTTTCTGGTCAAGTAAAAATTTAATCAAAATCATTATTAGAGCTTATACATATCTCACAGATCGGTCGACACAAACAAGAGCCTAACGCAAACGCCGATCTTAAGGGGCGAGAGATGGGCCGCTATAGACGCCCAAGTCTGCCATTTTTTCCAAGGAAATGGTATACATAGCCATATTTTGATCTGAAAGTTACCTTGGTAGATTTTAATCAGCCGTATACCACCCCCCGCACTTCAATTGTCACAAAAGCATTTGCTCCCAGAAGCGCTACTAGTGGTTGAGTATGCAGCCGCCACATCAGATCCAAACAATATAGCCCTATAGGCAACACGCACTGCTAGTACAGTACAAATGAACGTGAAGTGTATGACAGATAGTTCCAAGGTGTCATTAAAAATCGATATTGATATCACTTTTTAAGTTACCTAATATGGGTGCCACTATAAATTGACCCTTCCTCTAAATTTTGTGTATGGCCATCTAGAAAGAAATATTTTTACAAAAGTTTTAGGCTCTAATATAGACTTTTACGAGGAGTATTTTTTATTTTATATACAGGGTATCTCGGGAAAGTGCTATAAGGTAAAGCTGTATTTTTTCAAATGAAACACCCTGCATATTTTCAGTGAAAATGATGGGCACTTTTTGTTGATTGCAAACACATATGGTTTTATTATAATTACTTTTACAACTTTGGTGAAACACTCAAATATTGTGCATCATTTATTAACATGTATCAGATCAGAGTTCAAGTCAATGCAATCTGGTTTTTATCACAAAAATGGTGAAATATTCAGAAATTTTGGTTAGAAACGTTTGTTTCCTGTTTCGATATTTGAAAAATTCGCATAAAAATAATCTATAAATTTTTGTCAAAATATATTTAAAAAGCCTATTAATGTAATATCTCGTCAGCCGGTCAAACTAAGCAAGCGCCTAACCTCATACTCAGTGTGACCATGTATGGCCAAATGCCATGTATGCACAGCAAAATGTCAATTGATACGTATCTCATTTCAAAAATTCTAGTCTATTCAAAACACACTTTAAGCTATACTTTGAAGTAAAAAATCGAAAATACAAATAGGCGCAGTTTCTCAAATTTTACTTTAAAATTGTTACTTCCGGTGTTGCATCTTATTTTAATTGAAATTTAGGGCCGTATCGTCAGTCGTTCCTACAATAATTGTAGGAAGCTTTTATGGCCTCCTTGATTTTCATAGACTTTCTCCTTTCTTTCAGAAAGGCTGGGATATTTCTAGATTTCTACTGTTCCGTGTCAGTCTCAGCGTTCTCCTATTGTCAGGCTCTGTTTTCTTCGTGTATTGTAGAAAATTTCAGGGTATATAACAGATGATATAAATCCAAAGCATGAACAATTTGATGCAAATAGATATCTGTAACATAACTTTAAAATAGAGTGCTGACACGCACACATTCTGGCCCCGTCTACGAGATCCGCCGGGTGGTACCTCCGCGTTCGACAGTCAGAGACCGTCTACCACCTACGGACAATCACAACATCCATAGCCAAAAGAAAATTTTCTCCTGGGACGGGATTCGAACCCGCACAGCGCACGGCGACTGATCAGGAGACAGAAGAGTCTACAACTGCGGCGACCGCTGCTGCCTGCCTTAGATGTACAAGCAAGTCCAATATGAACGAATTTCAAAACTTCCCATTTTGCAGTGTTTGCATCAGGTGGAATGTGGCCAGAGTGTAACAATATTCATGTTTTGTCATTTTTCAGCTTCATGAGTGGCGTGGTATACAACAGTTACAACACTCATCTTGGTAATGGGCATATATTTATAGGAATTTTTGTTGTTATTTTTATATACATTTTCTCCTCTAGAAATATTACCAATGTTTTTTTAATAGCGTCGTGTATATCATTGGCTCCAAGTATTTCGTAACTTAGGGTGGAGTGTGAGATCGGTTTGCTTGCACGACTTTTCGTGAAATGTGAAAGTCCCTAACCAGTTGACAGCGCAGCTTGGCAAATGACAGAATAGAAACGTGACAATGACAAGTTCATTGATGTTTCACGTCCCATCCGATAAGGCGATAAGCGATAAACCTTGTGGATAAACCTTGGATTAGAGTCCGCATAAATTGGGAAGTTGACATCAATCTATTTATTTCCTGAAACCTATCGCCGAAACGAATCACCACTAAACAACAGGCTATCCCGAATCGAACAGTAAGCTAAAACATTATATCATATTTGTATTTGTTTTGTCATAAACACACTTTTTCTCATAGCTGTTTCACCTTGAGCCGCACCGTAGAAGTACGACGACCGCTCCCACTTCCTGTCGCAGTACCTTCCAGAACCGTCAAAATACCCCTTTCCGACACGGCGTTGATGGACATGGTGGCCTCAAACCTCCAACAGCAGCGCCAAATCACCGAGCAGCTGCGAAGGGAGGCTGCAATCAAACGAATGCCAGTCTCTCTGGCAGTCAAAGACATCATAAAATATACCACAGAGCATGAACAGGACGACTGCCTTGTTGTGGGGTTCTCCAGCCAGAGAGTTAATCCCTTTCGTGAGAAAACCCCCTGTGTTGTTCTTTAAGGGCAGTTTTTGCTGCTAAGTAAGATTCTTTGATTTCATCTTGGTCTTGAAAGACTGTTTACAAAACATGCTATGTCCCAGTTTGATTGATTTGAGGTTAAAAGCTTAGTAATGTCTATAAACCATTATAACTATTTCCTAATGAGTATAATAATTTCATTATTATTGTTACTATCCGTCTTTTAATCATTTTTGGCGGATAATAGTAAAGCATTAATATTACTGTCATATTTCTATCTTTCACAGATACACATGCCTATGTGCAGATGTTTGTTTGGTAAGCTCACAGACATACTAGGCAGTCTGATAAGTCCCTGAAAAATGAAACACGGAGACGTTTTTTTGGCCAAAGTCGGGTTTATTTTTCAACATACTCTCCTTTTAGGTCGATACAGCGAATCCAACGATTTTCTAACTTTTTGATACCGTCCGAAAAGTACTCGATCGGAAGGTCTCCAAAATATGCTTCAGTTTCAGCTATGAGCTCCTCATTTGAGTAAAAACGCTTACCGATGAGCCATCTCTTCAGGTTAGGGAATAAGTAATAGTCGCTGGGGGCCAGGTCTGGTGAATACGGTGGCTGAGGAACCAATTCGAAGCCGATTTCGTGCAATTTTGCTTGTGCAACTAAGCATGAATGAACAGGCGCATTGTCGTGATGATACAGCGGTTTTTTCTTCTTCAAATGCGGTCGTTTTTCGGCGATTTCGATTTTCAATCGGTCCAATAATGATGAATAATATGCTCCGGTTATGGTTTTACCTTTTCCAAGATAGTCCACGAATATTATGCCATGAGCATCCCAAAATACGGAGGCCATAACCTTTCCGGCCCATTGTTGCGTTTTTGGACGCTTCGGAGCACTTCGGCCCGGTGGAACCCACTGTTTTGCCTGTTGCGTTGACTCAGGAGTGTAGTAATGGATCCAGGTTTCATCCATGGTTACAAATCGTCGCAAAAACTCGGTCGGCTTACGCGAAAATAATGCCAAATTCTGCTGGGAAGTCGTCACACGAATTCGTTTTTGGTCCACTGTGAGCAAACGCGGCACCCATCGCGCGCAGAGCTTCTTCATGCCCAAAACTGAATGGACGATATTGCCTACGCGTTCCAATGACATGCCTACAGCATTAGCTACCTCTCTCAATTTCACTTTGGGATCATTCAACATCATATCATGGATTTTTTCGACGTTTTCTGGTGTAGTGACCTCTTTTGGGCGCCCAGATCGTTCAGCATCAACTGTGCTTGTACGGCCACAACGAAACTCCGTAAACCACTTATGAATCGTTCCAATCGACGGTGCAGAGTCCGGGTAATACTTATCCAGCTTGGCCTTGGTCTCGGATATCGTTTTCTTGCGTAGATAGTAGTGTTTGATCAAAACTCGAAACTCGGATTTTTCCATATTAAAAAAAACTCTGAGGTTAGTCGCTTCTCAGTGCTGTAACTTGTAAATGTGTAAACATGAATGGCTGAAGTTTTGACAGGTGTCATTTGAAGGATCAGGCTCGACAAAAATGGTTCGCATTAGTGAATACTAATGCCATCTCTTAGAATTTTCAGGTACTTATCAGACTGCCTAGTAATTATGCTTTTCAGTTTTGTTGGTAAGCTCTGCAGTTGATCTGTTTACTTATTTGGTATGTCATTGAAATATAACTGCCAAAATTGGTGAAAAGACATTAGTGTTGACATGGAACTCGGTTCAAATTGAATACAATCTTGACAGTTGATTGATATGCAGATTAAGAGACATTGTGGCATCATGGCTTTAATTATACAATTCTTATTTGAATTTTTTCAAGTGTTGTGAAATAGGTTCAGTAAAAATTTTGGAAAGGGTATTTAGTCCTCAAACATGCCAATATTTTTTGAAACTATTAGTAGGGTTTAAGTGACCATTTTCTGAGTAGGTGACTTACAGCTAAAAATATAAACTTTCTACACATTGCATATGATAATCCTGTTGCCATTTACATGGAAGGAATTGTAACATCTAAAATGCTACATTCAAATAAGAATTGTGCATTTAAGTGATTTTTTCTCAACTATTTTGAGTATTGTTATCATGAAAGTGTTTGAATTCCAAATCACTGGTTATTTGGGATGGATGTTTTATGATATCTACATGGTGGAAGGCTCTTGGTTTGTTGATGATATTTGTTCAGTGGTGCTAGAAACTCTTTTTAGGGAGGTCTAGGTTTCAAAAAGATTCATTCTCCAATTTTGCTTTAAAGTAGAAATTAGTAGCATATATTATAACAGTTGTCTTCTATGACCATGTCTGTTTTACTCATACTCACATTCCTGATCATTTTAGGTACTTGTAGCCAAAAAATTGAGCATACAAAAATTTTTACTTTTATATCATGAATCCTCAAACTATATAAATGTGTGGGAAGTACTTATCTCAATCAAGTACTCAATCCCCTAAGGTTTGCTGAATGGTGCCATTCAGATAGTCATTAACATTAATTTGAACTCTGATATTGTCAAAAATGATACAAAAAATATTAAGGCATCAAAATATTATGGTTAGGTTACTACATTCAAAAATAAGCACCTGTCTTAAATTATATATGATAGATGATACAGGAAAGTAGTTTTTCACATATTGAGGACATTTCTTCAATATTGAAGGCTACAAGTTACATATCATTTTAAAACCTTTCCTTAAAAGTTGTGATCAAAGAATGTTGCTTTATTGACAGAATTGATATTCTGTGATTAATGTATAATATTGTGGTAGATCTGCATTTTCAACATAGGGTATTTCTAAATAGGGACCATCTCTTATTTTTGTTATCTATTAAGTATAATTCATCAGACTAGTTTATTTTGTTTCTATTGATAGATACATCTATTGATGAAATGCTACTTTGATTCTGCATATATTATTATAAAGGTTAAAAAAATGCAAAATAATTCAAGTAGCCAAATAAATGTTCAGTCAGAACTGCACAATGAGTTAATGTTTTTCTCATCCATCCTCTTCCCGTTGAATATTCTATTATTATTGCTTTATTTATACAAAAATTGATTCTTCATATATGCAGTATCAAAATAGATTATAATGTCAACTTGTTGTAAAGCTTTCAAACTATAGACTGTGCAAAAGGCCTCTTTGAAGTCCAGTATTTTCTACTTGAATATTGAGCTTTTTTCTAAATGTGACTATAGTTTTGTAACTATACAGGTATCTAATTAAATGTTTCATGAAACTTTTAATTTTATTTCCATTACATTTTTTTCAAACTGAAAGACAAAACTGTAATAAATCCTTGAAAAATCAGACACTACAGAGAAGCACTGTAGAAAAAAAAAACGAATACCAACATGTTTTTGGTGTTATTCCCCTGTTTTAATTTTTTCAGTACCCTGCATAATAGAAGAAATCTTCGATCAAATAACATAATGTCCTCTGCTCTGCATTTGTCACAAGGACATTGCTCTCAGATGCTGAAGGACTGATGTCGGTGACTCCTCCCCCTACCCGATTTTCATTTTGCAATCATAGGTCCCCCGTGATTTGCGGGCGCTAGAAAATAATTGATTCTCAAAGTTAGCAGTAGAAGAAATACATTTGAGAACCTCTGGTCTAGTGTACTTGGAAACATATCTTTTTAGCCTCTTAAAACTCAACATCAAACTTTTAAAAATTATGACATTATCATATATCTTATAAGATGCTTCAAAAGTAAGGGGAAATATTTAAGAAGGCAATTCTTGGACCCATTTTAAGAAAAAAATCTTGCCGTGGACGTGTGTCTCAAACGTCTTATATTTTGCATTACACAGGTAAAGTTTTAAAAACTCAAATTTTTATAATGTGATGATAAGGGCTCATTAGAGTTCTACAACTATTCTAGAACTGTTCTGATGCCAGGCCGCATTGCCATTGGCTACTGACAGTTCACCATATATAATTTATCTGCCACAGGTTTCTTCGACAGCCCTCCTACCCATTCCATGAATTTCAAAATTTTCAGCTTATGTGAAGCCATCAACAAAGAATGAGAATTTGTATAGCTCTCAGTCCCTTTTTCCATTCCCACTATTCTCACACGAATAACCTGAATGAAAAAGTAGGTGAGTGAGATGTGCAAGTTAATTAAAATTCCCCTTCATATACCTAGACCATTAAAATTTAATGAACCCTTATTTGATTATACGCCAATTAACTCTTATGTGGGAGTGTACTGGAGAGGGTTGTTGGTGCAGGTATTTATAAACAGGGGGGAATCCTCAAAAACTGTTATCTAAAGCTTTCACCTCAATATCGATTCTACACTCAATGACCTAGAGTAACCCCTGTGCAGTGTTGTCAAATATCTATTTACAGTTACGTCATTATCTTCGTAATAATATCAATTCACTTCTTTTTTTATCATGAATTAGACATCAATAATCTGCTTCGTCACTTTGGAGAGTTTTGTACCTATTCACATTTTTATATACTACAACCCAAAAATAAGGCTAAAGTAATGTCTCGAGATTGCAAGCTTCTAATGTTAGAGTGAAAAATGATGAGCAGTAACCATTTCTGCTCGTTACATCACGGTAGGCTACCCAATATACTCTGAGGGCAGTGCAGTGGTGATGAAACTACTGAAACCACTCTATGTGCGGGTGATCTTGTTTTATATTTTTCAATTATTGCTTGCCCCTCGTATGTCGTCAATCGCACATTTTGGCAACCACTATTCACCACCGAACCGGTTCGCGCATGCCCAGTTGTGTTTGAAAGCCACACATGTTTGAGGGGCGGTAACCAAACCATAAAGCCGCAACTTTGACGTTTTGCCGAACGCGTTTTCTTTCAGTTTTGTTGAAGACGTCGTAGTGTGAGTTATATCGAGTGCGTGCAAAAAACCTCGCGCTAAAAATTCAGGCGGTAACAATACGAGCAGCAATGGAGGAGGAAAACAACCAATCTGGTAAACCTTTCAAAATCACAAATGTTACCAGAGAGATCCGCAAAGGTATAGTCTCAACATCCCTAGAAGATCTAACCTCCAAAGTTCTGGATAAACTGGAGGTTGAGGCGCCGGTAACGGTTGTTTTGGAGGCGGACGGTACGGAAATTGACGATGAAGAATATTTCGCAACCTTGGAACCGAACACAAGTCTGATGGTGTTAGGTAACGAGCAGACTTGGGTGCCCCCGACACCACCCTGTCGGCTGAAGAAACAGGATGAGGTGAGTTGTGTTTTATTCACTGTTGCACTGACCCATTTCCTGAAGCTCCAGATAAGTGTTGATTGTACTAAGAAGATTGAGAGATACGAGGCTGAGACATTCAGCGGGAATATAATTTTGCACAGCCTTTCATTCAAATTTCATTAATTCAGGATTGGCAGGGTTTTAATCATTGTGCACTGAGGATGTCTCCTGCTATCCAGTATCCATAACCACTTTTAGGAATCCTTTTTCTTTGTGTTCACCAAGGTTATTACTGTCACATGTACCTGATTTTGTTTACATTATCACCAACTACTACTGTACCTGAGTTGCTTTCCAGTGACCTTGTTCAGTTACTCTGAGTAACTCAGGGAAACTCAGTATTGCTTAGCACTGTACATTGTATTCTCATGCGTTGTTTCTGGAGCTTATCACTCTCAAACCAGAAAACAGCTCAAAGGATGGGGAAAAAGTTCACTGGAAAACTATGATGTTTGATGCAGTGATAGTTGGACCTTCAACGGTTTTGGATATAGTTTTAACAAAAAATAAATGCCACCAAGTGAAGTTAAGACATTGTGCAATAACATCTCTATAGCAGTAAAGAGACCACCTTTATTATAAAGGTGTTCCAGTTAAAATCTGTGAGGTATCTATTGCATTTTGAAATGAATATAATAAAATGAATATGAATATAGATTATAGGTTCCCTCAAATTTGCCATTGCATTGCGGACCACCCCCCACCCACTAAACCAATTCATTGCTCCCACAATTTCCACTAGGGTCCCTACCACAGGTGCTCAGCATACATGGGGGGGCCTTATCTTCCCACTTTATGAAAGATTGACAAACCTAGATCTGTATCCACAGGTACCTGGGATTTTGATAAGATTTCTGTCACTGGCAATGTGAAATATTTAAATTCAGGCTTCAGAATGTGTACATTATGAACTTGTGGGGCATTTTTTTCACATTAATCCTGTTGGCAATACTAGAGATGGACACGTTTGTTTTAGTAGTGGGTCGCCGTCTCGTGTTGTTGTTACGACGTGGAACCCAACATGTATATGTACATAACTACATAAGCAGAAATTATTTGTTACTTGTAATATATTACTAATAACAGCTTGAAATATGGTATATGGACATTGGATTTTGCAAATGAGTGGTTGATTAACCTCTGATCAGAAAAGAGAAAACATGCCATGCATGACGTGTGTAGTTATGTATAGTAAAAATAAGTTTATTTTTATGGTCCTTTGAGGCAATAGGTTAGTAACTTAATTGAAGGTCGCACGTCCCGTTTTTTTCTCTTTTTCCAGCTGGCTGCTTGCAGCAGTTTTCTTAATCCTTTTCATCTGATTATTTCATGGTTTATATAGATATGACTGAAAAACAATGCTTGTAAAAGCATTTCTTATGCATGTTTCTTCAATCATAACTTGTTAACAAATATTAGTACAGCTGTAACATTGTATTTGAATATTCGACTTTTATGAAGCAGAGAAATGGCATATTACTTTCATTTTTCTCTTTGATAAATCTTTGATTTTCTTGGAACCTCATTTTGCAGCAAATTGAGTTTTCAAGAAATGGTAAAACAAGTTATTATTCTTCCATAAAAGTGGAATACTCACATTCAATTTTAGAGCTGTACTATTATTTGTTAACAAGTAACGATTGAAGAAAAAATGCACAAAAAACGCATTTTTTTACGAAAAAGAAACAGATAACATTATTTTTGTCATCTCTATACCCATCATGAAACAATCAGATGTAAAGTATGAAGAATACTCCTCCAGAAAGGCTGGCAGCAAAAAGGGACATGCCATGTTAATCCTTTACATTCCTAATACTTTCAAATACTTCCAGTTAATTTCAGACATTATTAGTCAAGGTACCAGTTGACTGACTTCTCTAGTTGCTTAGTACTCTTTCGGCTAGACGTTCTTTAAGGAATGGTCAAGGGAAGATTTATCATTTGCATTTCACAGTAGAGTAACAGTCACCCAGTCACAGGCTTTCAAAATATTCAGACTTTCGAAATTTGCACTATTTTCAGAGTTGCCTGGATTTTCAAAACCTTCATGTTTAAATTTTTCAAACATTTCACCGTATTTAGATTTTTCAGAATTTCCAAATTATAAGGATTTTGAAAATTTGATGTTCTGAAAACCTGTGATGACAACTGTTACAGCCTACTGAGAAATGCAAATGTTAAATCCCCTCTTAAACTTTATTCAAAGAAGCGTTTTTTATATACTGAGTGACCAAGCAGGCCTGAGGCCTAAATACCAATTAATTCGTCTGATTCATTGTAATTGAGAAACTTATTTAATTTCCTATCCTTATTTAAACATCCTAAAATGCTGTGTACAAATGTAGTAAATCATAATTTTCAGAAATAAGTTGATCAAATCATGTGGTATTAAAAACCATGTCATGATCAAATGAAGGAGTGTGGACAATAATGAGCCATTAGTTTTTCTTTTGAAATAATTTATTTAAACACAATAATACAAAATGTATAACCAGCTTTAACAATAATTCCCCAATCAGTGTTTGCAAACACTGGCCCCGAGAATAACAAGACAATAATCAATATCTATGAACTATAGGTGGTCAACTCGTTGTCTCCTACCATAATAATGTAAAATAGAAGAGATTATTATTTATTTCATTACTATTTTCGAAACATAATGATCTAGTCCACCTATCTTTAGTATGAATTATCTATATAAACTACTGTTAATATTCTAAAAACATTGTTGTAATGCTCAAAAAACAGTCCTCTGGTATGTCACCAAAGCGTTGCAATGGCTTCTGATTCAGGTATTGAAACAAATAAGTTTAGAAATCGACTAATTCAAGTATTATTTTAAACATAATACAGTCGGCATTATTAACAGTGCTTATTTGTTCATTTATATATTAAAAAAATAAAAAACAGATTAGTTTGAGTTGGTCACACCATATAGCGATCAGTCCCCTGTGTATATTTCAAATGACATGGCATAAAGCCTAGAACGCAAAAATATCGTTTTATTGCGTTCAACGAAACGCGAACGGAGTGAAGTTGACGCGGTTGCTACCAGAGCGGCCCTGAGGCCATCTTCTTCAGTGCTGCACACATGTTGCTCCGAGTTACCCGCGTCACAACCTAAAAGCCTACAGTCCTCTGGTAAGAAATATTTAAATTCCTTTCTGTGTTTTTAAGTCATATTTCACATAATGTACTTTATTCAAATAGATAATTTTCAATTGTATGCACCAAAATAAAACAAATGGATACTGTATTGTGCTACTTATCAATCTAATCTAACTGAACAGTCCCGTGGCAACAGTCCCCTGCATTTAAACAGGACAGGGGATTGTTCTTACTTCCAGAGGCCTGTCCTAATGTGAATGCAGCATTGTTATAGGCACAAGATATTATTACAACATGGCACCAAGGAAGAAAACACAGACGAAGGAGGAAATTTGACAAAAGAAAAGGGATGCTGAATGGAAAAAGCACGAGCGCCTCAAGAACAACCCGCAGAGAAGGGAAGAGCTAAGAGTAAAGTGACACCTGAAATACCTTAAAAAAGAAAAGGGGACTAGGAAGTTTGTTAAAGATGACGCCACGAGAACACCGGGAGGCTAAAAAGAAATGGACAGAGCATTGCTCTGCTTATCGGAATAAGAAGAAAGCGTTGACAAATATAACTAACACTTATCTGCGAGAAAATACACCAGATTCGGAAACACCGCACTCATCCCGACCAACAACACCTCAAGATGTTGATATGTTCAAAAAACGAATTAATAGGGAGAAGATAGTCCAGAAACTAAGAAAGATCTAGTCACGAAGGCATTGTTTGGTGAGGTGTTAAAACGCTTTTGACTAAAGTAGTATTCAGACAACTAGTGGAAAAATACAAATTATGGCTTATGGAAAACACAAAAGTGATTAATAACAGAAGAATAAAAAAAGCAGAACTACTCGGAGGACGCGTCGTCGGAAAATTCTATAACTCTTTGGACTTAAAATCTGAGTTAGTTGGGATAGTGATGAAACAGCTAAGCTGCTTTTGTAACAAACATCGGAAAATTAAACTATGAAAATAAAGTTAAACTAACAGTTGCTGAAGAATTCACTGACTCGGAACCTGATGAAGCCGGACCCAGCTCTTCCGCAGCTAAAGCACTCATCAATGGAGATTACATCCTAGCTGAATTAGTCTCAAAAATATGCAATATAGGTATGTAAGCGTAATAAACAAAATCGATGAAGATGGGGAAATTCGAGTTACATTTTTAGAGCTTTACGATAATAAAGGTCAAACATTTAGAATGGATCCGGACGATATAGCAGATATTACAATGGATCAAGTGATAGAAAAATTACCTAATTCAAACATACTTTCAATGGGAAAAATAGACGATTTTATACATTTGATCCACCTATTAATGTTTTTGAAAAACGTTAAGCTTCGTAAAAATAATGGTTGTGTGTAAAATACTGATTATGTTACCTTAAGCTTACAAAGTTTTGTACCTGTAACAAGAGTATACGTAATAAAAGTATTGATTTTTTTCGTAGTTTACCGAAGAATTACTATAATTGTTAATTTCCAAGTATAGAGAAAATAAAATATTTAATTTTGCTAATATTGGTATTTTTAATTTGAGTACACAGTCCCCTGCCATAACTGACAGTCCCCTGTGTCAATAATTTAGAAAATGCTTAATATTTCCTAAATTATGACCTATATTTTTGGGTTCCCCGTGATTTGTCATTGAGCTTGAAAGTATACATCTCCTAAGTAAGATGTTTCAAACATTTAAGCAAAAAAGTGGGCAAGACAGTTTTTCCAAATAAGTTGACCAGTTTACAGAGAAACCTCCAGGTACAATGCAATGTTGCTCATAATTTCAACAAATAAGTTTATTAACATTTTTAAAATCTTTCAATTCTCTAACAAAACTTCTATAGTTATTTGAATCTTTTATACAATGAGGTAAATTATTAAATTTCTTAATTGCGTCTGTGATTGGATTTTTTAAACCTATATTAGTTCTTCTGGAAATTTGATAAAGATTATTTAGTGATCTTGCACGTTATGGTAGAACCTAATATTTATGTTACTTTTTAGTAGATTATTTATAATTTTATAAACAAGTTTACGTTGTTCCACCTCCAATAACACTCTTAATTTGTTTAAATTTAAATTTGAATAAAGTGTATTAGAACTTGTAAGCCAATCAAAATTAAACAATATTTTCAGAATTTTATTTTGTAAAACTTGAGCTTTATTAAAATTAACTTCACCGCACATACCCCATATTGGCAAGAGGTACCTAAAATGTGTGAGAAAGAAGGCATTATAAATTTGAAATTTGCTTTTGTTGGACAAATAATCTCTACTCTTATATAAGGCAGATAGCATTGAAACTATTTTATCACAAATTCCATTTAAGTGAAGTGACCAATTTAAACTTTCATCTATTAGTAATCCCAAATATTTAATACTTGACACTTTTTCTAGCGCTATATTATTTATGTTAATATTTAGATTATTGCTAACTATCTTATTTTTTTGTTTAAATATAATGTATTTTGTTTTTTCAATGTTAATTTTTACTCTATTCGAAAACAGCCATATAAGATAACTATTCAGGTCATCATTAATAAGATTCGTTAAAGCAATTTCGTCTGTTCCAGTATATACCAGTACAGTGTCATCTGCAAGGGTAAAATATCTTCCCCTCAGATTGGCCAACTTGAGATTCAGTACATAAAGACTGTATAACAGAGGTCCAAGAACTGACCCCTGTGGTACTCCATAGGTGCTAGATAACCATTCACTATCAATGTCTCCAAGCTTTATGTACTGTTTCTGTCATATAAATAAGACTTAATCAAGCTCTACGAAACACCTCAAAATTCCATTTTAAACAATTTATCCAAAAGAATGTCTATGCTTACTAGGTCAAAAGCTTTTTTTAGGTCAGTGAAAACAGCTACAACTATTTGTTGTTTATCTAGAGCCATTGAAATGTAGTCCACAAAATCAACAACCGCACTAAGTGTGCTACTGATCGTTATAAAACCATATTGAAATTCATCAATCAATATATTGTGAGTAACAATGAAAGATAACATTCTCTTTTTTATTATTTTTTCTATAATCTTAGAGAATACACATACCACTGAAATAGGCCTGTAATTGTTCATACATTTAATATCTCCCGACTTAAAAAGTGGGGTTATTTTACTTATTTTTAATTCTGATGGAAAGATTCCTTTTTGTATAGCTTCATTGATTAAACGTACTGAAACAGGTATTATGTATTCTCCAAGATTATTTACATCCTTAACCGTGATACCGTCATATCCAGGTGCTGCGTTTATTTTTAGTTCTTTCACAACTTCTAACAACTCTTCTTTATTAGTCAATGTAATCGAAATAGAATTAAAATTAAGTTAAATTGTAGATCTGGATCAATATGCGGTCATCTCGATTTTCATTGTCAGTTAAGGAAAAATAGCTGTTTTGATATTCATTATTCATATAATATTCATTTTCAGAGCTGCAGATTGCGCATGTGTGTCTTGGCAATAAAACAGAATAAGTTATAGTTTGTCTTATGACCACCTTAAAGAGCCAACTCTTGTTATCAAACTTGATTTTGAATGTTTATAAAATGAAACGTAATTTGGAATTTAGTTTTCAATGCTTCGATATAATTCAGCCGAGTCATCCCTTTGTCAAAAATGACACCGAGATACTTGGGCGGAGCTTTCCTATGGTATACAAACTCGAGTCATTGAAAGCTGAACACAACATTATGTCAATACGAGAGCAAGAATTAGGCGGTCGAGCAAAGGTTTTTGTTTTGATGCAGTGTAAATGCGGTTTGAACAAAAAGGCATAACATCTAAGGTGCTAAACAAGATGCTTTCGTCCTTCCCAGCAAAAGACGTCTAACCATGGACAGCTGTTTCGTGCTTCTTGGCCACTCATCAGAGACAAGAGACCAAGCCTAGACCTGCTGATGAGTAGCCAAGAAACACGAAAAAGCTGCCCATGGTTGGCTGTCTTTTGGTTGGACGGACGAATGCATCATGTTTTATTTCTTCAATGGCAAGTAGATCACATCTACTATACAGCCAGAATCGTCAGCTATCTAATGCTCACATGGTAGCTGGGCTATAAACGCGAATTGAGGTCTTTACAGTACCAAAAAATAGCAACTGTGCGCTCTCCGAAGTGGTCGAATCTGGCGATAGATGTCGCTTTGCGCTGTCTTATATCTAAGGATCGATGCATGCCGAAAAATGAACGTAAATCGATTTCGTGAAAGAAGTTTCAAGAATCCAAGTTACACTTAAATATGCTAAAGAAGGATACTATTTCTTATCAATTACTACAGTAGTACTCGTATTACCGATCCTGATGATGGAGGCAACAACGGTTTTGAGTCCTCCCATCGATTAGAGATCGACAACTTAGAATGTAATGCTACTAGGTCCATATCCTATCAGTTGTGAAAAACAGACAATCAATCTTCAACCTAGTTGCACTGAATTAAATTTCGAAATTAAATTCAAGATGTGACATAAGGTTCTCCATCATTTCACCACGTTTTTCCACCAAAAATTTCCGTTATTCAACCATTAGCTTAAACAAAAATTGGAAATAAAAATTCTGGGCTAAGTTCACGTAGCCCAGATTTTCCAGATTATTTAAAAAGATCAAAGCACATCGTTTCGTCATCGTTTTACGACGTTTTTCCACCAAAATTTTTTCGACCTTTAGGTTACGAGAAAAACTTCAAAAAACAACCATGGACAAGTGAAGATAGCCTAGAATTAGTCAGATTTTACAAAAGATGAGTACACATGGATTTTCCATCGTTATACCATGTTTTTCCAACCAATTTTTTTGTTTTTCCATCTTTGACTAACAAAAAAATGCGAAATGATTTTTCAGGGCCATTTGAGGCTAGCCTAGAAACTTCTGACGGGAATATCCAGGAATTCGTTTCTTTACAGCCTAAGACTTCTTTATTATCCTACTGTTTTTCACCACAAAACAAGTTTTTCTACCAGACTAATATGGAAAATTGAAAAGAAAAAGTTAGGGTCACCCTATTTTACCAATATCCATCACGCTTTGACGTTTACTGAGGTGAACAGCTGATCAGCATGTGACATTTTTGTGTTTGTCTGCAACGTTGGCAATAATGAATCGGGTATAAATCTAGTAAATCTTGTTTGCAGCGGTTTGTTTTTTGTATGCAAATGAACTTTTCTGAATAAAAAAGCTGTGACCAAGTACAAAATGAATCTGTAGCGTACAAGAAAACAAAACGAAATACGGTTCTGACTACCTGGCTTTGACGGATCCGTCAGAATGATGTGTCCTGTGCCGATATGGGCAATTATGAAGTATTACTAGATAACCAGCTGTCATCCTATCGTGATGGATACGCGTGAAATAAGGTATAGATAGCATGCATCTTTATATACCTTTTCAGACTGCGTGGAAATCATCACAAATCGTTTTTTTCATCTTATCACTGCGATTTTATTTCATTTTCCACCTTTGGTTAAAGAGAAAAATTGAAAGTTACAAATCAAGGCCACACGTAGATAAACCCAAACTTCTCGGAACATGTCCAGGCTACCTGGAAATTATTGCAAATCATTTTTCCATCCTATAACTTCGATTTTCCACCAGATTTTCATTTTTCCGCATGGCACATCGAAAATACTGCCGTCTAGAAATATTTTGCCAAAATTCCTAATACAAAGTCTTACTATTAGGCAATGGTCACAAATCTCATGTATTATTTTATTATTCTACGACTCTATTTTTATTCATTATTGTCAATTTAATATTTGGAAGTTGGAAAATTCCTTATACTCCGCCATTGCAATTCTTCAAAATTCATATTTTAGCACATCACATTACTCAAAACAATGACGTATTTGTAAAAGAATCGAATAAAGGTATGTTATTGTTATTATTTCATTGTCGACAGTGCACTTGGTTTGGTACATACATATGTGAAAAGTTGAAAAGGAGTTACTTTGATATAATTAATGACGCAATATTTCCATGTATTAAAAAATTCAATTGAATGAGATGTTTACACCTTAACTTTGTAATCTGTGGTTACCGGCAAATTAAGCGATAATGATGAAGCGAAAGCGAACATATCTAGCTCATCCTTTCTTTTTGTCGATTTCAGTTTGAATAAAAAATACTACATATATGTTTTCTGTCTTGTTCCAGGTGGACGACGGTAGAGGAGGTCCAGAGTTGGTGGATCTGGTGGGCAAGCTGAAGCACAACATCTGTCACGTGTCTCTTTTAGGAGGTGAGGAGTTGGAGATGCTCAGCGACATGGACCCCGACTCTCTCGTCGACATCACCTTTCCAGACAAGATCTTCCTAGAGCAACTCAAAGAGGTCTCTGGGCGTTTCTTATGTGAAAAGCGACAGGCGCAGGATGCGATGGACCTCCTAAGGCTCTACCATGAGAAAGAGGCGGCTGAAGGAGAGGGGAATTGAGGGATATGAGGCAAGATTGAGAGAATTGTAAGTGATGTATATGTGTTTGTGTGCATATATCATTTTGAGGGAATTTGCACAAAAATGTCAGAGCATATTCTGTTATAAATAATAATATGTACATATTTCCATATCCGCACAATCAGAACCATTAATTGCGTTCCTGCGTTGTGGAAAATGGAGAGATGGGGAGTTTGAAGGAAAATGATTTGTCATTTCCGGCAGTCTGGGTGATATGGTGCGCAAGCGTCGGAGGGGAGGCCGGGGTCGAGTCACATTTTTTTGTTTTGCGTTTTTGGCATCATTGTGATTAGTTTAACAATAACATGTCTTTATCAATTGTTGGTATATCTATTCTAGTTAAAAAGGAATAAAATATTTTCCGCTAACACCATCTATTAAAAATCCATTACAATGTTTGTGAAAAAAGAGAAGTGTCGCTTTTAACGCCGTATCAGGTATAATTGTCACAGGGTTTCGGAAGAAGTCATATAGTAAATTAAGGGGCATTTATAAAACAATTTCTTGTTTCAATCATATGAGCATTTTTATTAAACATTAAATGTTGTACATAACTATTTATATCAACAAATTAAACTTCTTATTTGTAACAGAATGAAAAGAAAATATCCCATCTAACAAACTTAAATTTTAATAACGAAAGTACCATAGACAGGGTGTGAATCGGGAACTCCATCGATAGATTTCTCGAAATGTAGGCATATGATATTTTTGTAAATTTGGGAGAAAATAGTGTCGATGAGGCAACGACAGCTAAAATATTTTCAAGATAGCCGCATTCCCGGTTATTTCGGAAGTTGATGCCAACTTGCTTATTTTAAATTTGACTCAATATCCGGATTCTACATAAAATTCTAATCACATTTCATGTATAATCTCCTATATCAAAGTCTAACCGTTTTAGACATATTTCAAATTTTATGTCAAAAATGACGTTTGCAGGCCCTAAAATAATTTTTCATTTCCCTATGTAGAACACCTTATTGTTTAATGTGGATTGATTTTCTGGTAAAGAGGGATATAGTTTAATAGACTTTGTATGATATTTCGATAATTATTTATACAGGGTGGTCAAAAAATTAGTATAAAAATTAAACGTCAAAAATTGCCGAAGTCGATTTTTTCAAATGATTGTAAAACTCCTACAATAAGTACAGATTTAGTTTTTTAATCAGTTGGCTATGACAGCGGGACGCAGAGAATAAACAATTGAGCACTACCTATATATCGCTACGTCTAATTTTGAGCTTTTAAGAATAGAGGAAAGTGACCAAATATGGAATACCATTTTTGTTTTTGACTGTATTCAGACAATAGTTCAATTAATTTTCGTTTTCTCAATACTGTTGGGTGTAACGGAGCATAATGAAAAAGTCATATCAATTTTTGGCCAAAATACGTCATTTTCCCTGTTCAGAAACTGAAATATTGTTTAAGGTGCATTCTTGGCGACTTCAAAAATGTGTTCTTAATATGGAATACCTTGGAACCTAATATGGAATACACCAAATTCTCATCAAAAAAGACATAGAAATGCTATATTTTCAGAACTAAACATCAAATAGAACTCTCTGTTACATAACGATAAACATAAAATACAAAAAAAAAAAACGGAACTGAATATTATCTACATAACAAACATTAAACAAACTTAAAACATTTCAGAAATTTTACACTGGAACAGAAGCGATTTTACTTGCAAAAATCGCACACAAATTTGCTTCGGTATGCCCCAGAACACTGTTCGTGGAACCACTGAAGGCACAATATGCATTGTATCCAAATTTCGCCCCTTTGGTCTTCAGAAAATTTCCCATCACAATATCCGCATATGGCATCCTCGTCAGGATCTACTGTAGTTTCTTGAGTCAGTTCATCACCGGAGGAATCTTGATAATGCAGTGCTTCAGATTTTTCTGAAGAAGTAGAACTTGATGATTCTCTTATTCCTCGCCTTCTGTTTGGAGGCCACTAAATGCAGCCCGCTTGTGCTTGGCTGAGTTAGGATACTTTCGGTTTCACGTTGAGGGCATGGTTGAACTTCCCTAGATTTTTTGGGGGCCCCAAGTTTTCGTTTGACTGCTTCAACTTTTTCCTTAGAAACGTTCAATGATGTCTCCAATTCTTTAAGGTAGGGAGAAGACGTGATAATTTTGGCCTTCCTCGTGTCCCTTTTTTTTGTTGCAATTTGGGAAGTGGTAAAATGTCATGTGGGGTCACGTGCGTTTCTACCGCTGGGGTATTCGGTCTACCGTACAGTTGCTCAATTACTGTGGGATTTGTTGCCGTGTTAGTCTCAGATTGTTCAGGTACTGCAGCGGTAGATTCGTCATCAGAGCCTTCTTGTGCAGCTTTCAGAAAATCAGATTCGTCGAAATTATTCCTGCGGACCGGATATAGCCCTGTCGTCTCGAATCCTTTAACAGCATTGGAACCACACTGTATCTTAAGGTAGGCCATGCCGAAGATTTCTGTGATATCATACTGTGTGATGGGACGTTTATAGGTTCGCATGAATACACGAACCTCCTCATTGTAATGGGCCTTGAGTGCACCCATAACACTTTTGTCTAATGGCTGCAGTTTATGGGTGGTATGAGGAGGCAGACATATTATGGTTACCCCATTCTGTTTTGCTAAGCGCAAGAACTCTAAATTTCGAGTGTGTGTGTTATGCCCATCTAAAATTAGAAGAGCCGGTTCATCCCTTGATGGTTTCACTTTAGTAAGAAAGTGGTGAAACCATTCTGTGAACAAATGTGTTTGGATCCATCCGGATGGATGGCATGCGAATAGAGAGCCTGGAGGTGCTCCTTTTTGAAGCTGAACATTCATATTTTTTCTGGGATATATTATCATTACCCTTTAAAGAAATTACTTCGCTGCACCTTGATTGTACCACCGTCAAACCCGTCTCGTCAACATTGAATACCCTATCTGCAGGATAATGGACTTTCTCCATTTCGGCTTCCAGAAGATCGAAAAATGCATTAACATTTGCTTTGTTGAATCCTGCTACTCTGGCGAATGATGTCCCGGTAGGTTTTCTGAGTGTTAAGTTTGAATGTCTTTTCAAAAATGCCTTTAACCATTTCCTCCCTGCTTGCCCGAGGTGTTCAGAAAATCTGTGCTCGATGCCATTCGCAACTGCAAGTTGGTATGCCATTCTGCGAACATCTGTTCTAGTCAACCCAAAGAAACGATTGTCCATATCAAGCAAATAATCTGCAAGTTCATTTTCTAACTCGATTAACACACCGTAACTGGCTCTCCGTGTTGTTTACATAACCGGAAAAGGGTGCTTCGTGGCACATTAAATTGTTTTGCTGCTTTTAAATACCCCATTCTACCATCCCTAACTGCTGCCACTGCTTCCTCCATGCTTCCTTTCTCCCACAATTTTCTTCCATTTTCTTTTTTCCCTTTCCTTGACTTAGGCATGTCTGAATACAAACGGAAACCATTATTTATGTTTAAACAAATAGTGCACATAATATGGAATATATTCCATAATTGGACCTTGTTGATATTCCATATTAGGAACGCCACGCATTTGGAGGTTAATCATGTTATGAACTGACAGGCTTTTATCAAGGGAAAAATTAGGCTAGCAATAGACTAAGCCGTCATCCTACATTGTATTATATTGCGCAGATTTCGAATTCGGCTCAAAACACACTCTAGATATCAAAAAATACTAACCTGCTGCAAAAACTTTAGTAGGCGGCGATTCACTGTACCTCAGTTTTTGACAGACTGCAGATACTTAACGACGGTTACAGGTTTCTGTAATGGGTTTTGAACCTTGGGGCGCCACTTCGGGCATAAAAACGGCAGATGGCGCAAATAATTTAGAAATTAATTGCGTATTCCATAAAAGGAGACTATTCCATATTTGGTCACTTTCCTCTAATATAATTAAAAATTTTCATGTATTCGTAATCAGAATAATATGAGTAGTAGATTTCCAAACAAGCACACATACAGTGAAATGAATAACAGGAAACAATAAGATATATTTCGATTTATATTTGGGTCATTCCACAAAAATCGGGATAATTTTGATGTTGTTTTGTCCTAAACCTTTTTAAGATGCTTTTGGATACTTGAGTAGTGTATATTAAGTGTAATTGATTGACTATCTTATATCTAAAAGGGCCGGTCATTTTATGCTTTATTTTGGGAGAAATTTAGAGTTTTTCAAACTTAGGCATCTAGGGTCTGACAGCTCTGGTTAGGGACTGATTATTGGGCATCTAGGGACTGATAGGTATTGTTAGGGACTGATAAACAATAATGATATTGTAGTAAAATAAGTTTGCTATGCATTTCTGGAATATATTTATTTTTAAAATATTTGGAACATAATCACTTAAGACAAAAAACATAGGTTGTTAACATTTCTTAACCAAAATAATAATAAAATAATAGAATTCTTCCAATGAAATTATTGTACAATCTTTAGCTATTTTCTAAGTGTGTCACTTCTTTGGTTATTGGGTACTTAGACAACGACAGTCAACTATCTAAACTATGTATTTTAAAAATAACAATTAGTAATACTTTTTTCTAATAAGAATCAGTCATTATAGGCACATAAAGTCATATTCTTTGACAAGCTAAAGTTTTTACTACTAAAGTAACTGAGGTAGATTATAATATTTTTAAATACTTTGTTACGTAACAGCATGAAAGTAAAAACAAAAAGCCTTAGCCTAAAATAAACAAAATCAACATCCTAAATAATCAAAGGCAAACAAAATCTTTAAGAGTTATGATATTCAGTCTTAGTATTTGTTCTTATCAGTTTCTCTATATCATTATTTAGTAACAAAGAAGACTTAACAATATCTGAATAAAATAATCTCACTTTTCAAAAACATTTATAGCCTTTTTAAAATCGTAAAACACTCTATCACCTTTGAAAATCAAACAGGGCATTGACAGTTTTTCAATCACATCTTCATAAAGTACGTCAGCGACATCACCTTCATCTAATTTAAATAAGTTTCCTTCTTTATTACATACCTTGAGAAATGTAACAGTCAATTCTCCTTCTTCGTCATCATAATATGAACAAATTGCAGCGTACCGGTACTCTTTCTTCTTCACCATAAATTTTACTTAAACGTAATCGCCACTGTAATAGGTCACTTTCATTTTATCTTTTAAATTCTTACTTATACCTGCTTGTTCTATAGTTCCGCGTTTACGTAGCTTTTGTAGAGGAATATCTTCTTCAGAATCTGTACTATAAACTTAAACTACTTTGAGATGTTTGGATTGGTTGGTGTATTCCAGAATTCCTAATTTATGATGATTGCAAGTTGGGCTACAGAAACAGCTCAATGATTTCATAATAAGTTTATTTGGAAAATACGCGTGACCCGTAACTTGATGAACTAGAAGTGTACCTTTGAAGGCTTGTAGGTTATTTTCATTCTCTCTGATCAGTTTATGAACCGTGTCAATATCAGATTCTTCAATAACCGAAATTTTTATTCCGGGGCAGTTTTCACGTAAAGTGACAGCATTTGTTATATCGGCCTTTTGTGCAATACATTTGTCTGCAGTTCGCTTACAAGTTGCACCCACACCATCTGGGGCTCCTTTCCCGTGACCTGCTTCAAGGTAGTTCCATGAAAAAGTCATTACATTTGGATGAAAATCTACAAGTTTACAAGCCAGTATGAAAAACATAAAAACATTGCTTTATTTCTATATTGAGTTACGGGCCCGTCACTCAAAACGTGCAGATTTTCTACGGTAAGAGGCAAAGACGCGACCACTGGTTGTAAATGGGCGCCCAAATAGCTGCAACATTGTGAGCTAAATTTAAAGAGACAGTGCAATGAGAAAAAGTTGAATCTTTTGTATAGACAACGACAGTGTGCATAGAAATTTGAGAGCGGGAACCCCCAAAATGATAAGCTTGAATTTCCTGGTTATATTTTGTACTAAAATTTTCAGAGAAGTCCATATGTCGACGGTGAGCTGGCATTATCTCCTAACTGAAATTTGGGAATTTTACAGGACGATAGAAAAACGATATACAAGCCAAAATAAATATAGCTCACTACATTTCTTTCTTACATTTATATTAATAGAGTCAATTGGAATCAAATTTTCCACAATTACATCTAGAATATTTACCAAGTACTTTTGGATTGTAGATAGGATAATATCAAATATAAGTTTTTTCAAATAGGATATTTTGCATGAATTTTTATATCTAGATAGGAGGTATTCAATGAGAAACAACATCTCAAACTTTAATGATATAATTATAGTAGTAAACGCATAAAAGCAAACAAAGTTATCTTCGTCGAGTCGCAATACCTACAGTATTGACAGACACTCCTCACTGATACAACAAGTTGTCATAAAATCCATGTGTATCCTTTGGTAGAACCGATTTGAGGTCTTGGAGGTGATCCCATTTTTCTTTCTTAATTTTGCAATGATCTTTTAACAGTTGAGGGTAGTCCTCAATGATAGGCACATTTTTGGGCCTGACAGGTATGTCTTGAAATGGTTCGTCATAAGATAACTTCACTTGAACAGCTGGATATGGTTCATATTCATATTTGATGCATTTTATGTCTAAAATGACATGATCAAATGCTTTTTTTCCCGGCCTGATAGACGTATATCGTAAGAACTTGCTTTCAGCATAGTTTTTAAAAAAGCTGTGCTCTATAACATTCACCTCGTAAGGTTTTGGATGAACTCTACATTCCTTTGTAACTTTGGCGTAGTCACTTGGAAGATGTATTTCCCTATTTTTCAGCTTTCTTTCAATCAAGCTATGAACCGAGTCACATTCCATTCGAGTGTGACCCGGTTCCAAGTATTTCTGGTAAATTTTCACCTGATGTTTAGCGGAAAAATTGAGCAATGCATTTGACAATACGTTATTTCTATTTTGAAAGCCACATCCGTCGGAATAAATTATTATGGGCAATTTAGACGAGGTTAGGCATTTATTTTCCAGGAAGTCAATGATGCATGATGTGAATGTGGATGCAACCAATTGGTTATTTTGGTCTTCAGAAAACCAATAACACGTCACATCTTTACTAGCAAGATTGTAGATGGTGAAGTTGTGGCAGCACAGCTTTGTCGTGAAATAGGTTTTGTTTGCAGGGAGACAAGGTGATAATTTGACAGCTTGTAAGTCCATGCTCAACACAATACATGAGCCGTTCTCTGCCAGATCTTTATCCTTTGCCTTCTCCTGCCTTGCTCTATTTTTGTTTGCAATATGAATTCTATATTTTTCTTCATCAGTATTATTATACTTATATGAAAAACAAACATTGCATTGGTCCTTTTTAGGCTGGAACAGTGAAAGATTTTTTTCGTTAAATGTTTTTCTGAATATTTTTCGGTTAAGTGGCTTCATATCTTCTATTTCCCCATTTCCCTTGCAAAAGTCTTCATATACTTTGTAAAGATCGCTCATTGTATGGAACGTTTCCTCTAGGTATAATTTTGCAATCTCCTTTCTACAATAGTGGGCTGGCAATTTTGGTAGTTTATTTAAAAACATCCTTAAATGGTCGTATTGCTTGGAGTATCGTGCTTTATTATAGCTCAATCTATCTTTTTGTACTATATCTGTGCCCATGCCATAAGAACTCTTAGAAACCCACTCTTGAATTGTCTTATATCCTATATCTAATGTATTGACAAACATTTTCCTACATACTTGAAGCTGTTCTTCCCCATTGTTTAAAAAATATGTATAGGTACTTTGTCTTCTTGATGTTTGTTCACCTCTAGCCTTTTTTCCTTTAAAGACATTTGAGGATATAAACACTTTTCTTTGTGCCCAGTTCATTTCATTCCAGAATTTTTTGAATATATTTTTTCTGGTTTCCTCTTTGAACTTGAAACAGTTCTTATTTTTGCTCTTGTTACATCTTGCTGAGTTACAAGCCATTTCCATCTCTCTTTCTCTTCTGATTGTATCGTGTACTATTTTTTCGCCTTTCTTTTTCCTATAACCCAAGTATTCTTTACCTTCCATTCTAAGTTGCTTATTTTTCAAACGTTTCCATTCAGCTGGATCTGCTATCTTCTTTCTTTTCCTGGTCTCGTTCATCTTATCAATATCTGCTAGTAAACGATCTTCGGCTAGTTCTCCCGGTTCAGAATTACTATAATCAATTTCATTTATATCTTTAAGCACATCTTCATTTACTGGTTCAGCATGTGGAGAATCACTATCACTGAGCTCATCGCTTTCTATTTCATATGGCACCAGACTGACACCACCTAGAAAATTGGAAAAAAGGACATCAAGCTCATGGACCTTAACCGTAAGCGTCAGTTACGGAGATATGAAAAGCTTCACAAAAAACTGTTACAAAGCTGAAATAACCCAAAGCGCACTTAGAGTTCTGTTTGTAATTAATCAGTTTTATAGAAAGATGAAACTCATAATTCAAAAACAAATAATATAATTAAACTGAAATTTTGACACTCGGCGACATGCCAATGACAAGGAAAAGTTTTACCTTAATAGTTGCATTTCAACTAGAACACAAAACAGCAAACGATGTGTCTGAAATTACCTTTGAGGATGCTTTGATTCTCTGAGCAAGCTGTACTGAGCTTATAGTTCGTATTGATGTAAACAGATGGACAGACATTTTGACGGCAGTTGACATCTGGTACATCGAAGTTGATAACATTCATTTCTTGGATATCTGAGTTTTGGGGTATATCCTCGGTTATATCCATACAGACACTTTGATTACTGGATGCTAAAGAATCTTGACTTCCGCGGCAAGCTTGGAAGAACATTCTTTCTGAATCTTCAAAAATCGTGATGTCATCACTTGGGCTGCTCAAGCAGTTTTCAAAATCTAGAGATAGTACATTTCCATCTATTAAGTCAGACGGCATTATAATCGGAATATTTTCGATGTCAAACACGTGCTCGTTTGGATCTTGATCTGCTTTATTAAGACTTGTATCCATATTTTCAAGACTAACTTCAAAATTTCTATTTTCATGTTCCTGATTGACTAAGGCCAATATTTTTCTTCCCCGGGAAGTCATGGCAATATCTCCTATTAGCGTCCTTTACGTATTCCTGCCAAATTTTCGCACCAAGTAAAATCTCCCACTAGAACAATACACAAATAACGTCACTCAACCATTTAATAAAAGGGTAATCTTATAGCATATAGTCACAAAATACTTCGTTTTAGTTATAGTTTCATAAGCAACAATAAAACCTACCTTGTGATGATAATGAATCAGTGAATAGACGGCTGGTATACAAGTCACGACGTGAACCGTATCATCACCCATTCATAACTGCGACATAGGAGGTATTGCAATCCTTTTTCCCTAGACCATTTAGGTGGGAGAAATTTCAAGACTAAATATCGCGCTAAACTGTTGTTCTATGCTGAAAACTGCGCTTACGAGACATGCCTAGCATAGATTGCGATAGGAAGTCACAAAAAACTCATTTTGGCAAAAAAATCAGATAGGAGGTATTGCCAGCTCACCGTCGATGTATTACTGCGTCCCTGTCCGTCAATGACTGTTTGAGAGATTTTAAAGTATTGTACTGGTGAACAATGTTAACTTCATGTAGGAAAAATTTTTGCAGATCATTTTCCAGTTGTATAATTAAATTGCGAGGCACCATATTCTTTGTCTCTTTTTTATACTTTGAAATTGAACGCTCTTTTTTTGTTTTAGAATCTATAATCAATACTTTTCCATGTGTCCACTGATCTACCAAAATATCTTTGCTGATATCGAATTCAGCATATGGTAACACTTTAGTAGAGCAGAATTTGCACTGTCTCAACAAACATTTTTCAGAATAACGATTGCAACAAAGTATCTGTAATCCTGTTTGATAATTGTCGAAGCCAAGAATCTTAGGTTTTTTAAAGCACATAATTTTAGATTCATATTTTCATGTATAATGCAGGCACAAGTATCGCGATCTGTTATTTTAGGGGAAACGACCCAAAATGGACGTAATCTACAAAACAGTGAATAGCCAATTGTCAATGTTTTTGTTTGAAGAAACTTTTGGTATAAATTTTTTAATGAGTCTAGCAAATAGCGTTTCTGTTTTTTGTTTTTATTGCGAGTAATACACTCCTTTTTTCCTGCTGTCGTCTTCATAAAATCTGTGAACCATTTGGACTACTAAGTTTTTCTTAGTTTTATCATTATTTTTAAAACTTTTGCGCCGAATCTTGTTATACAATATAGAGCTACAACTTTGTCGCCAAAGTTTATATTTTTCTACTGTGGGACCAGCCAAAAGCTGTTTAAAGTTGGATTTTTCTTGATGAGTTTGAGCTTTGGAAATATTTTCTGTAATTTGAGTTTGCAAAACTTCGCCAAATAAAGCCTTTTTGACCAGTTCTCTACTTTGATTAGGATCTTCTGCCATTTGTTCTATTTTACTTTTAGGTGTGAGTAATTTCTTCGATTTCTCAATTTTTTGTTTCAGTCTATTGTATTTCTTCTGTTGAGTATTAAGTTTCTTTTTTAAATCATCAATAATCGCACATTTTTCCTGTAACACTTTATTTCTTATCTTCCGTTGATATCGGCTTCTTCTTTTAGCTTCCACTTGTCTAGAGTTTTCGTTATTGTTATTATTGATCTGCGGTTCTGGATCTACATTTTCTTCAGATGATTCATTTTCAGATGTAGGTGGCGTATTCTGAACAACTTAATTTTCACAATCTTTTGTAATTGTTTTCTTCTTTCTGTAATCAGTTGAATACTTCTTCCATTGTTTTCTAATTTTTCTCTGCTCCCGTGGGGTCATATCCTGAATAGACTTACGTTGTCCCTTCCCTTTCTTTCTTAAATATTTAACTCTTTCTTTCTCTTTATATTCTGCCAACAGAACTGGATCGCTTTTGATTTTCTCCAATCGAGCTTTTGCGGCGGCTGATTTTTTACTGGCTATTTCCTCTTTGGACAATTTTGGCTTGTTTTTAGGTGACATTCTTCTGCAAAATGGAAAAATAACACTTAATGCTTAGATATTGTGACGAACGACCGCAAACAACTTATTATAAGTCTATAACTTCCCAGTTTTTAAACTCAAACTAAAAAAAAAAAACAATCGTCAAATGTAGTATTTTGCATTTTATTAAATATTTTTACATAAATAACATAAACCCTAAATGACTTTTTCATCCCCTAATATCATTCCATAAAGTTTCTAGGTCGTTTCACTTATAACCTACATTTAGATATTTTGTTAATATCACAATATATCGAAACGTCATTCCCTAGCTATATCCGTCAGTCCCTAGCACAATTAAGAGCTAGGGCCTGATGGTCCAGGCACTGACGATTTGGAGTAAAACTTGAGACAAATGCAGGTTAACTTCTAATAAAAGCTGTTTAATATGATGTACCAAAGAAGACCAACAAATCACACATAAATATTATTTAATTATCATCAGTTTCCTATTATAAACAATAAAACTACTCACCTAGGGAATGACAAAGTGACTGGATCAACATGTTTCCGCAACAACTGTCGCGTTTGCACTGAATCACAAAATGGCTGCAGCTCAGCGAGCATGGTCTATGGATAACTTCGCGTCGTACTTTTAAATCAACTAGATGTCATTCACTCTTCATTGATATTATGGCGCGAAATTTGTAAATCTTGGCGTGACTAGGGAATGACGGATAAAATCGAGGACACTTTTTCAACTTCAGAAAATCGATTATTTTTTATTGAAACTACAAAATATTAATAGAGTTTTGTGTATGTAGAATAAACTAGATAATTGTTAAATCAAATAAAGTATATAGTTGATGTATCTATAAATATGGGTACCCAAACATAATCTTTATGAGAGATTTTAGATTTATCTTAAATATATTTATTTCTAAATATATGGGTAATGAATAAAACACATTGCGAGATGTTAATTAACAATTTTGGGACAAAGTATTTCTAATTATACTATGTGAAATGTGTCGCGGACAATGAGTGGTACTATTTTTGTGGAATGACCCATTTAACTTTCCTACTATCACAAAACAATATTAAAACATAACAAGAAACAGCTTATTTTGATAAATGTTCAAAATGACCACCAGTAACTTCCAAACATTTAAAACATCTACGTATTAACTCCTGTACTCCTGACGAGTGGCAGTCCTTATGATTTCCGGACTCAAACTAGCAACAATTTTTAGCAACAATTTATATTTATTTTTCAAGATTATATACAGTAATATGCACTTAAATTATATATACACAACGAGGGTTAGGCTTAATCCTAACATAGTAATATTCTCTGTGGAATCGGGCGCACACTCGATTTGACCCACAGAGATGCTTGGTGTTAAGCTAAATAATTTTATAATGTACATGTGCATGTGGTTATATTATTCTTGTCACATCCAAATAATAAAATGACACTTACAAAACAAACTTGAACAAAGGAAAGTCCAAAAAATAAATATTCATAGATATTGTTCGGGGTTTGGTTGAGAAGTGTATTTACAGGAAATATACTCAAAACCTGTTCGAAAAAATTAAAAATTTGAAACAAAGAGGTATTTACATATATACATATTTACATTTAAAATTATGGTACATATTTACATTGCAGAGATTCCGAAAGAATATACCGATAAATTAGCCCATGCTTTCTGATTTTACCATCTATTGTGTGGAAGTAAAATTTCTCGGTTTGTGCTTTAATGACCTGTAAAATAGTTTTGAATCTAGTGTCCTGTTGCATTAGATTTTGTTTTATCTGATGATTGGTGTCTGTACGGGCTGCACTCATAATTATCCTCAAAAACTTGTTTTCTATCCTTTGGAGAAAATTAAGTTGTGTATTTGATGCTGAACTGTAAACCTCACAGCCATAAAGGAGCACATGCCTAACAACCTGTTTATATATTAGTAGCTTGATGGGCGTATGAAGTTTACTAGTTGGACATATTAACGGGTAAAGGGTCTTCAGCATACCGTTAGCTTTCATACGTATCGTCTTGATGTGGTTTTGAAATGTCAGTCGTTTATCTATGGTAATTACCAGGTATCTAGCGGTTTTACTTGCCTGAATTTTTGCGTTTTTCACTGTGAGGGGCCTAAAGATTTTGATTTTATGTCTTGCAAAATTAACTGTACAATTTAGAACTTCGGTTTTATAGTTACTTTATTTTGTTCGAAAAACGGAATGATTTTTCTACTGATGTGAATGTCTACCTGCCTACATGCTACCTCAGATTGAACTGCTGAAGCATAAATACAGGTATCATCGGCATACAGTGCAGTGTTTTTCAAATTTTGGTAGGTCTGATATAAACAGAATAAAGAGTACCGGTGATAATGAAGACCCTTGCGGAACACCTGCGTTCATATTAAAGCTCCCGTAATTATTGTTGTTAATTCTCATAGAAAACTTTCTTGAGAACAAGTATGAGTCGATCAGATTTACTAGATATGAGGGAAACCCGAACTCTGCTAACTTTTCTATTAGTTTGTCTGTCCAGACTTTATCAAATGCTTTTTCTATATCTAACAAAGCCATTACTGTACTTTTACCATCATTGAACCCTTCCTGGATATGGTGCATTACTCTAGCTATTTCTCCCATTGTTCCGTGGCCTGCTCGGAACCCAAATTATTCGCTAGATAATATTTTGAGTTTTTCTTCTTCTTTAAGTAATACGCATAATATGAAAGGATCTATCACTTTGGCGATAGTACTTAATAGTGAAATAGGTCGATAAGAATCGGGTAGATGGGGATTTTTGTTGGGTTTTAGTATACGCCATATTATTGCCTTTTTCAATGGTTCTGGGTAATACTGTAATCGGATTACTGCATTAATAATGTTTGTAAACTGTGTAATGGCTTTGTTAGACAGATGTTTTAGTGTTATTTTAACAATACCGTCTTCACCCGGAGCTTTATTGTTAGCAAGCCGGGATATTTCATCTAATACCTGCTTGGGTGAAACGGTAAGATTTCTTAAAACATGTTTTTGAATTTTAGTGTACCTATTTACTCTAAGCTCACAGACTTTTCGGGTGGTTTTATAATGTTCTTCGATCATGGGCGCCCGCAGGATTTTTTTTCAGGGGGGTCAAAATAAAACTTGTTGCATTTCAAATTTAGTTATTTTTATTAAAAGTTGAAAATCGTTATGATAACAAAAATAAAATATACATAAAAATAAAATATAACTAAACAGATGACTTCTTCCTAGAGAGGTTTTTATGGTTTTATGGTTCAAAAGAAAAAAATGTAAGTCCTTAAAAATAACATAACATTTTACTAATAATTATATTAATAACTAATAATACCAAATACATTTATTACTCTAGACTAAAAACCAGTCTTCGGTTGCTTTGGCAAAATAGATCTAATATTTTAATGGCAAAATTTTGAATAGTTTCTGTTCGTTTTCGATGGATACTCAGCAATGCTAATCCAACAAGTCTCTCTTGTCCCATTGTAGCTCTTAACCATGTTTTAATCCTACGTAAGGTGCTAAAACTGCGCTCTATAGTGCAAGTGGTAGACGGCAAAGTAAGGAGAAGTATGCAGCAATCTTTAACAGCAGGAAAAAATTTACAATGTCCAATAAGTTCTTCAATGGCTATATTTTCTGCAATTTTAGATTGACATAAATACTCTTTCCAAATATTTAACTCGCTTTCTAAATTTTCAATGTTATACAGCTGTTTGATCTTAACTCCGAACGATTTACTGACTAAAGACTTTATATTTTTTGGCAAAATATTAAATAAAGAAAAGGCAATTTCATGCTCTTTTGAAAATCTTGTTTTTAAGGCAAGAATTAAATGATCTACATATGGAATAAATATCGATTTTTTAAAATAGTCTTCAGCTGAATCAGATTCATAGTTGGATCTATAAATTTGTCGACCACAAATTCGTGGCTTAGCCACCTCTATTCCAAGAGTCTCACAACTGGACACTGCTTTGGAATAAAGTTCTGCAAAAACGGTATCAACTTCTAATCGATTTTTATTACAACTGTTAACTATTAAATTAATGTGGTGATAAACATCTACAAAATTTATTGAAACTCCTTGAAGGGTATTCGCAACCGGTTCTAAAATATTTGAATATTTACTACCTACCATTAGACAAATAACAAAAGAAAATGAATTTGTAGCAGCCCATAACTGAGCAGCTCTTTTTGTTGTAGCGGAATTCATTAAAGTTTCTCCAGTTTTTATATCATGAAGAGTTTTAAATATTGTATTAAAATTTTCTGCAAAAATGCGCAAAGACTTATACTTGGCTGACCAACGAGTCTCACAGAATAGAGGTATATTTGGAATTAGATTCCTTCTTAAACTACTTTCTCTAAAAAAAACTATTATGTCTTTTACGGTACCAATAGTACAGTGGCGGCTCGTGATTTTACAAATAGGTGACGCAGGATTGACCGACCCCCCCCATACCATGTAGAACGCATACACAAAAAAAAAAACATGAAATAACTTACCTAAATTCAGTAACTCGAAAACAAAGTCAGGATTATCAGGCACTTTTCATTGTTTATATATGAGAGCAATTCGTCGGTCCTTCAAATTAGCAAACTTATTTATAACGTCATCGTAAAACGGCTGTGACACTATCAGTTCATTTAATAATTCTTTTTCGATCGATATTTTTGCCAAGTTCGTCAACCGATCTTCCGACATAGTACTTCGTAGATAACTTTTGATTCGCTTAAGGCATGAAAAACTGCGTTCTGTCGAAACACTTGTTGATGGAATGGTCAGTATTAAACACAAAAGCTTATATGCCTCCTTGAAGATACTGCGATTCTCAAATAGCGATTCCTTTAATAAGCGGGGTTCCATATTTTGATATTGATCATCGCTATAGATCAGCTGCAATTCATTTTTCAGTCTCTGAAAATCTGTGAATGTATTTGAATAAAACTCCTTCAAATTACTTAGGGCTTCTGTTGGAAATTTTTCTGAATATGTTTTGAACTTCGAAGTGTCCATTAACGTCACAAAATGAAGCTTTTCCATATCTTGGAAACGGGTCGTGATTTGCAGAGAAATGGTATCCAAAATTTCAAAATACAGCACTCTATATCTTTCAATAATTTGATCCCGAGACAATGTTACTCTTGTCCTGCAGCGGTGTTCCGTTTGTACACTTGTTTTTGATGCAGCCAATTCGAAAATATTCTTAAATGTTTCTTCATTTCTCTTCTTGTTTAATTGTGTTTGAACACTTTTAATTTGCTTAATGCAAAGGTTTATATCAAAAGATTTTTTTTGCAGTGTGTCGAATAGTATATCTGTCATTCCAAAGATCTCGTTAAAAACAACAACCAAAAGCACGAATTCGAAGTCATGGAATTTATTTAGAAATCCGTCGCTCTGTCTAACCGAGGCTTGATCGGAGGTTGGATCATTAATAATTTCAGTAAACACTTGCTTTAAGGAATCCCACTCCTTATTTATAAAACTGATAACTTTAGAATTTGATGTCCATCGCGTAATAACGGAAACAGGTATTCGACGTCCTATTATTGAGTCTGCTACGTTAGTTCGTTTCGGAGAATGGTGAAAAAATGTCGGTAAACCACTTATAGTTGCAAAAAAATGCGGCATTTTGTAATACTATTGCAACTTTGTTGTAACACTAGATTCATGCGGTGTGCGAGGCAATGAACAAAAACTGCTTGGGGTGCCTGTTCCTTTATTTTAGCCTGAAGACCATTTAACTGTCCGGACATGACGCTTGCACCATCGAAACATTGTCCAACGAGTTTTGTTTTGTAATCAAAATTTTGTAGACACCTTGTCACGAGGTTAAATAATGCTTCAGATGTTCGGCTGCAGCTTACATCATGAAATCCTAAAAATCTCTCCACAAGTTTTCCTTCAAGATTGACATAACGGATTATTATGCTGCACGGCGATTTGTGGGCAATATCGGTGGAATCATCCACCTGAATGGAAAAAAACTGCATTCCTTTATTTCATTTTCCACATATTCATCAATGCATTTGACAATGCAGTCAATAATTTCGTTTTGAATGGTTTTAGAATTGCCCGCAAATATTGAGGCAATTTTTTTGTAGTGCTCCTGAATGTCTACAGGGCTTATAGATACAAATGCTTCTAGGAGCTCTTTGAAATTTCCACGGTTAATAGAAGTCGTCTCTTCGTTGTGGCCACGAAACGCCAGTTCTTGTTTGCCCAAAAAAAGGACAGCGCGTATTGGCAATTCCATGAAACGTCTATTAAGTTGCACGTTTTCGTTAAACTGTTTAATATACAGCCTGGAATTTTCGCGTAAAGCATCCTCAATAGTAGTGAGATTTTTCTTCAATTTTGAAAAACCTAGTGCGCAACGCATATGATCCGATGATCCTTCATGTTTACGAAGAGCACGAGTCACATTCCCGAAATCATTGAAACCGTACTTGCTCCACACGGTTGCTTTAACACTTACAATCAAACACGGCACACAAAAAAGTTTATTTAAATAATAGCTACCACATATCCATGCGTTTGCACTATACCACGATTTTTTAAAATTTCGACTGTACACTTTGTCCTTAACTTTAGCGGTTTTATTTACATTTAGAGGAGAAGGTTTTTCGGAGTTTAAAAAGTCTTTTTTATCATCATTACTCCATTGAGAAAACGATTTTTCCAACATAACATATCATAGACAGGAAACATTGTTCAAAACAATGAAAACTAACCTCGACACAATACGATATCGGTAGTAATGCAGAGCAGACTAGACGCAAATTCATAATTTGCTTCACTTGCCTCGGCCAAAACGGAAGCGCGCGTGCCGTTGTCATGGCAACCGTCGTATTTGCTCGTATCTGTACTGGACGCAGCAATGCGGTGCAAATAAAGCTGCTTCAGGTCTCTGTTTCAACACGCCAAATTAAGCGCAAACGTAGGCGCGTTGTTGGTTGCGGGGTTTCTCAGTATTCTGTTGATCGCAAATACAAATAAAGAATGTCCGAAAAATAATTTTTTAAGATATAAATGAATTTTTTTTATAAATTTCAAAATAAAAAAAATATATTTTTTTTGAAATTGCAGGTGAAGCAGCGCTTCACCTGCGTCATGGGGCGAGCCGCCACTGCAATAGTATTGCGAATTTCCGTTATTTTACTTACATCATTAATAACTAAATTTAATTTGTGTGATGCACAATGAAAATAAAATGCCCTTTTATACTTTTCTTGTATAATTTTTTGAACTCCATGAATTTCACCAGACATTGTTGAGCATCCATCGTAACCCTGTCCTACAAGTTTGTCAAGACTTAAGCCCGATTTTTCTAAAAACTGCAAAATTGAAGATGCGATGCTATCAGCGTTTAGTCGGTCCAACTTGACAAATCCAAGAAACTCTTCTTTCAGGGTAAACTTATCATTTTGTTCAAATACATATCGTATGCCAATAGATAGCTGCTCGTGTCCGGCAATGTCGGCAGTCTCATCAGCCAAGACACTAAAATATTTAGAAGAATTTGCTTCTTCTACTACGCTTCTTAACAGTACTTCTCCGGCTAATGAAATTATTTCATTTTGAATTCTGTGTGATGTATATTTAGAATTACCAGCAGCGGTAAACAGGTGGTTGCCCAAAGTTTGGTCACCAGCGTCTATCCTGAATTTTAAAAGGTCACTAAAATTGCCAGCATTCTTGCTGCTTTCCCTTAAAGGCATATCATGGGTTCCACAAAAAATTATCGTTTTAATAATTGGAAGAATTTTATTCCTATTTTCCAAAATATTTTTTTTCCTTCCCTCGTCAATTGAAGCCAATATGTCATTTTTTTTATTTGACAAAATATCAATAAAATTTTTACCCCGAATGGCTGAATCTTGATGCCAAGCTGAATTGACGTGGTTTTTGGTCTGGGTGTGAAAATCCCTATATTTTAAAAATGGCTTCGTACTAAATGCGCCTAAAGCACTACCGTGGTTAACAGTGGGTGGGAAAATGACACAATATTTACAAAAGCTGCCTTTAAGAAGTTTGGAATAAGCTAGCCAGTCATATTGATTAAGCCATTTATGAATAAATGGTCGTTTGTTTGATTCTACATCTTTCTTAAAGTCATAGGTAGGGGGTGGTCTATATGGACTTATTAATAAATCATATTTTTGTTTATCCGGTATTGACGATGAGTTATTAAGGAAATTTCCAATGTCTTTCGAGTCCGATTGGTCATCATTTAACAACATTTGGGTATCTTGAACAGGTTTATCTGTTAAAATTGTTCTTATCCCGAATAATGTGTTTGACTCATCTGCTTTTGTAGTGTCTGGTCCTTGATCTTCTTGGTCCAAGCTACTACTTGTACTTGTACTCGGTATTACTTGATGTACTGGTTGAAGTCCCATTTTTTTAGACGGATTAGTGGTTTCTTCGGTGGTTGTAATTTTTCTTTTAAAAAAATTGCGAATGTCCATTTTTTTCTAAAAAAACATATTAATTAAAATATAAGAAAATAATGACAAATTTATGAATCATTTTACCTGATGTAAATTGCAACTTGTGTGTGTTTAATTTAATTAAAACCAATAAGAAAAAGCTACTTCCTATGAAATAACTTTCAGCAGAAACTCAAGCTTCAACTTAGGCATGTAAAAAATAAGATATCGGCGTATATAAAGAGAAACTAACCTCAAATCGCGGTATACGCACATTAGCCGCTTGACGACAACTATAGCACAGCGCTGACTCACGGCCGCGGCGCGCGGCGGCGGCGTAGACGGACACTTGCACATGGAGCATAAAGGTGCGTATACATATGCGAGCCGAGCGGTTCGCGAGCCGCTTGTGAGAAACTTGTTCGGCTAATTGGGACGGGGTTTATGGTTCCAAACGAACTGCTTGTGAGCAGCTCGTGAGCCGCTCGCGTCGAGCCGCGGCCTGTCGGTTTTTTCGACGAACACAAAGGAATTCGCAGTGCATATTGGGACGTGTTTAGACAAGGTTCGTTGTTTTTCTTTAGCTCGCGAGCGAACTTTATTTTTCTTCAATAAAGTTATGGATTCATGGTCGGAAGAAAAAATATTATGTCTGATAAACGTGTATACCGAAGTATTACGGCTAACCTAGAATATTAATTTAAAAAAAAATGTTAAAAAACAAAGCTACCTGTCCACGGTACACCGACTTACCTATCTTGGGCAGAGATTGGAGTACGAAAATAAGTCTCCTGTTTTGAAATATGGGGTCCAATCCTTTGCAACAGATTCTCAAAGTCAGTAGGTGTCATTCGAGTGAAATTTTTATACTGTCCGCTTATTTCTTGCGACTTTAGGTCCATTAAAATTCCCGTACCACTGTGTTTCTTGAATAAATTAGTACACCACCAACGTCGTTGTTTTCTCTTTTTTTTATTTACATCAGCCATTACTAAAACTGCAGCACCCAGCAAAATAGTATAATTTTCGTTTCGCGAAGCCATACTGCATTTGTCGACTGCGATGTTTGTTTGCGTTTGGTGCGCTGAATCTGTGGATCGCTGGAGGTTCGCTGAAAAAATCATTTCAACGAACCACCATCGAGCGGCTCACAAGCGGCTCGCGAACCGCTCGGCTCGCATATGTATACGCACCTTAACGTGACTTCCTATTGCACAAGCGCCAGGGTTAGGCATCATTCACACTAGCGCGAATTTCGCGGATTTTTGTCAAAATGCGTCAATCCAGATTTAAAAAAATCCAGAACAAAAAAAGGCGAAATTAGCCCTAGTCTGTTAGCGTCTGTTTATGAATACAATACACGTTGCTCTGCTACAAGTTTATTTCTAATATTTTTATCCTAAAATTGTTTTTTATGTAGATAGTAAATATAAAAAAACCATACCAAATAATCAGAATCTCAGGGGGGGCCGCGGCCCCCCCTGGCCCCCCCCTGGGGGCGCCCATGTCTTCGATTGTGTCAGGCAATGTTGTCCATCTTTTTTCAAGATTTTTGCCTAGACAGTCGTCTTCATCTTTATCGGTTAAGTAAAAGTTACCTTCAGCCTGAAGGGCGGGTAGCTGAAATTGTTTACCTGCATTTTTAAGCTGCCTAGAGATCTTCCAAATATCCTTGTCACCTTTCGCTATATTTCTGAGACGGTTTTTCCATTTTTGTGATCGTTCATTTATGATGTCAGAGTTTATTTCCCTAGATAATTGTAGAAGTAGTTCTTTGTCTTCTGTATTTTGGTATTTTTGCCATATTTTCCTGATGTTGTTTCTGATTTTGATTTTAACTTTAATTCCATCTGATATATTGTCAAAGTCCTCATGTATTGTTGTTCTTTCTACTGCACAAGTTCTACTAGTTTGGATAGCTTTTATAAAATTTCCAGTGGCTTCGTCTAAATCTTCGCGTGTCTTTATAATTTGATTTCAATATATTTGTCTAAGTGATATTTGAAAGATCTCCAGTCTGCATTTCGATAGTTCCACACAGTTTTTGTATCTCTATTAATTTTATATTTTATTCGGAAGCTTATTGGGTTATGATCAGATGAAAGTTCATTTAAAGTGGTTACTTCTGATAAATTTTCACAATTTTTGTTTAAAACTATATCTAAAACTGATGGGGTGCTACCATTAAATGGAAAATGTGTCGGGCTATCTGGATAAAAAAGTCTCGAAAAAAGTACAACATTGCTTCTACTTTCAAGGTAGTTGTTCAGTATTGAACCATTGTAATTATTGCTAGTGTTCCCCCAATGTACACGTCTACAATTAAAATCCCCCATTATTATGACTTTGTTTGGTGATTGAATATCCTATCTAATTCCTGATCGTTATTTCGTATGTTTTGTGGCTTATACATCGCCGTCAGTACTACACTACTGTCTAGTTTGATGGCCACATATTCAAACGAAATACTTTGAAATTTTACTTCAGTGTAGCTGATACCATTTTTAATGAACATTATAAGACCACCTCCGGCTTTCGCTCTTGTGATGTTTGGGTTTATCGGTCTATTCTTTCTTATCTGGTTATATCCTCGGAGCCTTATACGGTCGCGATCTCTGAATTGAGTTTCAGAAACCGTAACAATATCGAGCCGATGGTGTAATACAAAATTTACAAATTCGGCCTTTTTATTATTAAGGCCATTTATATTGATGTAAGCTATATGGATATTATTTATCTTAAATACTATACTTATCTAGCCCCTGGACAAATTCTATGAAAGTTGTGATTTTTTTCTGCGAGGAATTAGCCGTTCCAAGGAGGCGGTTGAGGTCCTTGAAGGCATCTAGAAGACCTTTCAAGTTAACCAATTTGTTCAGTTCTTTCACTTCATCGGATATCCTTGTGAAGAGTCCGATGCCTTCTGTTGTCTCAGGAATAGTAGTGACACGTTCACTTGGCGTTTCAGTCCTTGTGGCTTCCGCTCTCCTTGGCAGTGGTGGGTACTCCTGTGGATCCATCATCTTCTGGCTTTGATGGCTATTGCTACGTTTGCTCCAGGCATTTTCAGCGGGTAGAGGTGCTGGCTTGAACTGTTGTTTGGCCATTGTTCGTTTTTCATCCACGGCTCCTACTTTTTTCTTGTATTCAGGACAGCCTGAGTAATTTGCTGGATGTGCCCCTTGACAGTTAGCACATTTTGCTGGTCTCTCCCTACTTTTTGTGCAGGCGTTTGTCCAGAGTTCTTCTGCACATTTGAGACATCGCGGTTGCCTTTGGCAGTTTGCAGTCGCATGCCCGTGTCTGTGGCATCTCCTGCATTGAATCACTGGGCGCTCGTTTCGTCGCCTTTCCCAGTAAACCCTGGTGTTCAAATAGAGATTCACGACTTGACTTGATTTTCAAGCTACTTGACTTGACTTGACTTGATATCAAGTCAAGATCAAGTCAAGTATTTGTTTTTGAAATTCAAGTCAAGTCATGTAGTTACACATCAAGTAACTTGAAAATCAAGTTTTCAAGCTAACTACTTGATTTTTCTTGAAAAAATGTACTTTTTTGATACTAATCTGTTCAACTGCCAAAACGGAATAACAATAAAAATCTATGTATATATAGATTTAATCTTTTATTTAAAAAACATCTAAAAACGAAAACTCTAACAAACTCAGTTTAATAATACATGAAATAATATGAAATAAAAATGCGAAATATTCTGAATTCTGACAATAAAACAATAGAAAATCAACAAACATGAAAATGAATATCTAAAATAAATCTTTAATATCCTCATTTGCCATCCATGATTTGAGACACAAAAGGCTTCTAACGGAGTTATCGCCTAATCGATTTCTTGTTTTGGTAAGAGTTAAGGCAGCTCTAGAAAACTGCCTTTCAACTGGAGCTGAAGAAGCTGGCGTTGCCAAAAAGTCTTTGGCCATTGCGGCAAGGTTTGGAAAAATGCATTCGTGTCTCTTCCACCATTCTAAAATATCTTCAGTACTGTCAGCTCTTGGGTCAGAAATATATTTGTCGATTTCGTAACGCCAGGCCATATCGTCGTCTGCATTATGGGCAGGTTTTCTATTAAACAAACTTAGTTGATCTATTTCAAACTTTTCGACACTACTATCTTTACTAGGGTTTGAAGATGCTGCTACTTGAAGTGATGGTTCAGAAATTTGCAGAGAGTCAGCCCTAAAATATTGTGCTTTAAAAATATCTTCAAAATGTTTAATTGCTTCTATCTGCAACTCTTTTCCCCAACGTGTATTGGAGAATGTATCCACTTTATGTCGGGGGTCTAAAATCAGGACAACACAGTACATCCAGTTAGTCCGTTCGTAATGTCTAATGATTTTGTCCCTTGCCGCTTGAATACTATTTATAATCTTTTCATCGATTTCATCTCGATCAGGTTTATTGTCAAGTACCATAGCCCACGATTCTAGTCTATCCAGCAACATATTAATACCGATTATTATCATGGGTAAAGGAGCATATGATTCACCTTCTAAAATTATGGAAATACTCTTAAAAACATTAAGGTACTGGCAAATTCGTTCAATTAACGACCATTCTGTGTCGGTTGGCATTAAAGTTTTTAAATTTTCTACATTATCACAAAGGATGTTAAGTGCGTTTCTCATATTTAGACTCCATCTCAACATGTCTAACGTGGAGTTCCACCTTGTTATGACATCAAGTTTTGGCATAGTAAATTTCAGGTTTAAGGTGGTGCAAAATTTTTCAAAATCTTCACGTAAATGTTCAGAGTTTTTTAATTTTTTAGCAAGGGAATGGATTTTTCTTACAGAAGAGGGCGGAACTTGGCAGTCATCATCATCATCATCTGATATATCTGTCAAAATGTTGGCGGTTTCTTCAACCTCAGAATCAAGGATTTTCATAAAATCTCTAGCTGCCAAGTTTAAGATGTGTGCAAAACATACAAAGTGGATATTTTTTGTATCGATTTCAGAAATATGCGTTTGAAGTTCTCTGATGAACGTAAAATTACTATTTGTATTGTCGGTAGTAATACCTTGTATGCATTTTGTAACATCGTAGAATTGTAATACTTCGAAAAATAGCTTTGCAATTGCATTACCAGTATGTTGCCCATGTGCTGGCACAAAATCTAGAAGGATACAATGAAGTTTCCAATTTTTATCGATAAAATGGGCGGTAATACCATAGTACCCCTTCATATTAAAAGAAGACCATCCATCGATTGTGAACGAGATTTTTGAATTACATGTTTTCAAAAATGACTTAATTGTTTGCTGCGCTGCTGCAAATGTTTTTAATGTCAAAGATTTCATTTGATTCCGACCAGGTAGAGTTGCCTTTGGATTTAGGAATTTGTACATTTTTCCACTTATAGCATCTTCAAAAAAGTTGAAAGGGAGATACTTCTGTGCTATATATTCCACAAGTAGTTTTTGAAATTTGTCTTGTTGAAAGTTTTCTGAACAACTAGTGGTCTGCAAAATAAACAAAACTGGAGTTAGTAAAATGCAGCGCAAGGTGAATGAATGTTTACGTCATAATATCCCACTTTTAAATTTATAGCATGTCCCACAATTTTGAATAGAATGTCTTAAAGTCAATATAGATTTTTGTAAATATGCTCTGATGAGTTTTATTGATGCAGGGTGCCCAAAAACTGCTGCACCGACTTCAAAATCAGAATTTTAAATGAGACATCATTACACAATTATAACAACAAACAAAAATTATGTTATATAATAAAAAAGCGGTTCTAAATTAGAAGTCGACAGTACTTCTTATATTTAAAAAACTTTTAGAATTGTTATCCGAAAGTTGTAATTTTTTCCATTCAAGAGCCGCCTTTTATTTAATATTTTGATATTTCGCCTACCTCGATATTTATTAATAATTTATTAAACCTTTTTAATATAGAATGACTTTTAAAATCAAGGAACCTATAATGATTATAATAAACATTATAAAACTATAAGTGTGGCTTAAAATGAGCTGATCCGGATTTTGGAAAAAATAACTTTTTAAGGGGTTTTCGTGATCAAGCAATCCAGATTAGGCATTTGTTTTTTTCTAGCATGATTCCTTTATGTGTTTTTTAAAGATTTTTCAAAAATGGATGAAGTTGGAAAAAACAAATGAAGGATTCTGGTGCAGCACTTTTCGGACACCCTGTATAAATAAAATTCTGATAGGTAATTTAATTTTTTTTTGATTGCCAAGAATCTTTTATATAATTATTTTTTTCTACACCCTGTAGTTTCTGAGGAAGAGGTATGCTTACGCCCCTAATAAAATGCCCACCCTGTACAATTATTTACTATTTAGTTTCAGCTCAAATCTAATTATTATTAATTTTTTACCTTCTCAAGCCAATTTGTAATTGTGCTACGCCTATTCGAACTGGCAGAGGCTTCTGCTTCGGATTTAGGTGGGCTGGATCTACCAAAAATGTTTTCGTAGACTCTAGTGTGTTTAGCTTGCAAATGCCTCCTTAGTGAAGATGTTCCACAGTTT